TGTGGGGGGGGGGGGGGTTGTCCCTGGGGGCATCAGTAACAGTACTTTCGACGCTTTTTTTTTCTTTCTGTTTGGACATTTCTTATTTTTCCTTAATTCTGATTTGATTGATGGTTTTCTTTCTTTTGATTTTGTTTTTATGCCTGGTTTGCTTTTCTTCTCAACTGGAGGAAATGTTTATATCGTGGAATTGGAGGAAGGGGGAGTCGGGGTCGAGGGGAGGGGGAGAGGAGGAGGGGGAAGAAGGGCGGAGGAGAGGAAGATGCAAAAGAAGAAAGAGAAAGAAGAAAAAAAACGATCCTCACGAGTCGATGACATGAAAATTTATTACCTCAGCTCAGCTCAGCTCAAACAACCTCGGAAACACACGATCGAAGAGGGATACTACACTATGTACCTACTACTACACTACACTACACATACCTATCAAATTTTCTATGTTCCAACCTACCTACCTTCCCTACAGGGAAAAAGAACCTCTTTAACGAAATTATTTTTAACGACCTTGAAGATACCAACGCCAATCAATGACTGATTTACCTTACCTTACCTTACCTGTTTTTTTGCATAATGAATTTCTTATGGTTTTAATGAATTCCCTTTTTTATTTGAATATAAAGCGTCTTTATTTATGTCTATTGCTATTCATTATTCAATGTTCATTATTCATTAATTGTGTATTTTTGTTCATGTTTATGTTTTTTCTTTTTATGTGTAATATGTTATGACTCTCCGCCTTATCACTTCTCCGCCTTATCACTTATCTACACTTTATCACCTTACAACGTCCTCACGAACGATTCTCACGAAGATAACAACAAATATCATATACACGAACACACACGCCCCCTTGCTTACATACTGTATCACGGCCGAACGAACGAACGAAACTTTCTTAGACTTTGGACTTTGGACTTTGAACTTCGATACCCCCGCGAGTCTTTGAGAGGGATTCTAGGTTAATGGGTTGATGGGTTGCTGGGTTGCTGGGTTGCTGAGTTGCTGGGTTGCTGGGAGATGTTGAGGAGGATTTTGGTGGGATGGATTTGGACAGAAGGGAGGAATGAAAGGTGGATTTTTGTTTAGTACTACACATGAGCATCGTGGTTCACAACCCACCTTGAAAGTTTCCCTGCATATGATTGGTTTTTCCCTTGTTTATCTGTCGACTTTAGCTTTGTTTTACTCTCTTGGATTTTGCGAAGGAAGGGGATAAGGGAGGGTTCTTGTGTTTATAGAGTAGTGAGATTGTCGATGGATACTCGTTAGAGATAATGTAAATACCTAGGAAATAGGAATTAGGAAATCTTTTACTTTATTTTTACTCTTAAATTTCTTTTTGTTATTATTTATCTAGTTAGTAATTTATATGAAATTAGTCTTTTTGAAAGTATAAACTACGTGCGAAGTAGATTTAGTAGGTAGTTAAAAGTATTAAACTAAGTAGATTATAGGACCTCTGAACTATTAGTATAATTTTTAGTAAATAAATGAGCTACCCATTTAGTTAGGTATATTATACTCGCTTTTAAGAAAAGAATATCTGTCAAGGACAAAACAGGAGACTGTTAGAATGAGCTGTAAAAAGTGGATAATTCAAAAGTAGCTAGCTAAGGTAAAGTAGTGCCCTGATATAGGAGCTCTCCTGTACTATGGAACCTTCCTGTCTGAGACTAGCGTGACTTATATGAGACTAGTGTGACTCATATGAGACTAGCCTTGACTCTTGTGGAACCATATGGCGTACAGGCTGTCTCGCCTAATGCAGGAGTCACATGCTAAGTAAACAAAGGGGTAAACTCCAGCACGTTCCGTAACAATATCTTTTTAACCTACCAAGATAGCCTAGGCCCGATATAGTCTCAGAAGTAATAATATACCGAAAAATGATTATAAATAAGATAAGTTATATCTTATCTATACCCCCTCTCCCCTCCCCTCCCCTCCCTTTCGTGTATATATATACTACTACTAATTATCTACCTACCTATAAATCAAACCACCCACTCGCCCTATATAACTAACAGGAAACATCCCTAATGGTCACCTTTTATACCATAACAGGAAGACAAACCCAACCAACTAATCCACACAACAAACCAATCGACCAACAAACAAACCCNCCCCCCAAAAAAACGCGCACTCCACTCCAATCCAATCCACCATCTCAAAAAATCCTACCTAAAGAACCCCCAAACCAAACCAAACCAAACCAAACCAACCAAAACCAAGCCATTCCTCACACCGCCGCCTACCAAGGAACCACACCGTCTGGTTCCATCCATTCCCAGTCCCATTCCATTTTATCCCCAGTTCCATTCCCAAACTAGTTCCAGTTAGTTCCATTCCCTCCGCCTCAAAGTACAGTACAGTACTTCGTAAAAATAAAAATAAAAGTCGGATACGGTAGGTATTAAAGACATGCATATCACGCTACCACAAACAAGACAAGACAAGACAAGACAAGGCCACAGTAAATAAAGATAGTACTATACGAGTACAGTATCAAGAACCAATAACAATAACAAAAAAATCAACACCCAACCCGACCCGACCAACCGGGTAAGGGTTAGCCGAAAAACGTAACTTACCGTACCATACGTAAGATCTCACGCACATGACAGGCACGGAGAAACAAAAGGCCAAAAAAAGGCAAAAAATAAACACTCGTCGGTGAACGATAAATCTAATAGGCCATGTCTCAGACCACCTCCCATCAAAAATCCGTATACGGTATCGGTCAATTCAAGCTTTCTCACCCTTCTCGTCCCGAAAAGAGGGAATATCGTACTCGTAGTGATATCAGCATGAGAGGAGATGGGGTGGGTAGGTATTGTAGGTAGTAGGTGGGTAGTAGTGTGTATTCAAGATTAACCCCCCAACCCCAAACGTCGAATGTCCATTCAAGTTCACCAACAAAAACCCAAAAACACTCCAGCATGACCCAGAAAGAAAGGCTCAACAACACCACCGCCAAACGTAGAAAAAAACGTACCAAGAGAAAAAAAAAATTAAGCATGCCCCGCACACGCGCTTGAAGGGAAAAAAAAGGATATGCTGCCGAGTGGGTACAGTAACGCTTCAGATCGCTGTCTTTACCCCACGAAAAAAAAAACAGGGTGAACAACTCCAGGAATCGAAAATATAAAAATGGAAAACAAATTATGAGTCGCCCGTCAAGAACCACAATAAAGTCCACCAGGAACCAATCTCACTTCTTCGGGGCATTGTACTTTTCCTTCCAGATCCTACACGCACGCGAGGGAAAATGGATCAGCAGGTGACTTTATCCACGTAAAGAGAAAGGGAAGGAGGTCAACAGGATGGGGGGCGACACAGCGAATCGGTCGGGATGGCTCGAGTCATTTTGGAACGTTGCTGCACGGGATGGCCACTTTCGAGGCCCGCCAATGCAACACCAACAATACCATCTACCCACCAGAGAATGGGACGAGGGAAGAGAAAAACGTGACATGTAACCACAGACTTACCAAGAGTTACCCAGCGTCTTACTCCCAGCTTTCTCCGCCCGCCTATAGTATTTCGCTGCTGCCCACTGTGGATAAAACAGTTAGCCTCATGGCCATCTGAATGGACGGGCGAACCTCTCGTGTGGAGTGACAGGATATGTAAGGTAAGAAGCCCCATTGCTGCCCAAATGCAGTCATCAAAGGGGCAGGACGCATGCGCACGCAAGCCACACATTGATGCGAGGCTGACGCTTCTATGGATATAACACCATGAAGCTATTCGGAAGCTCGGCTGATCCAAGGGTTTGGAAACTTACCTTGTCTTTCTTGCAGCCAAATCCTTCAATGTAACACCAACCAACTTCATTCATCGCATCTACCCATGGAGTTTAGCAAATCTAGAACATGAAGTTGGGCGTGAATACAAAGTACATACCAGTGTCGCCCAGGTTTGCAGCCGTTTCATAGTACTGTCCCCAACAGTATCAGATCAAGTCTTTCAGGCTTCTCCCCGATCCAATCCTTTCCAGAAGGCTTACCTGTTTGGCTGCTACTTTGTCCACTGCCACCCCCCAACCATGCCGGAAGCAGTTTGCAAGTTCGAATATAGCGAGGACAAGCTCTCCTTTGGCCGTTCCCCCTTTCTTCATTCCCGCCTTGAGAGCAAGATCCTCGATTGCAGCAGCATTTGACGCGGCTGCCGACAGATAGTTTACAGCTTGGGTATGATCTGGCTCACAACCCCAACCATGCCTAACAGACAAATTAGAACAGTCATAATTGAACCATGTGGGAAATCTGAATCAACAGGACTTCATTTCAGGTCATCCGGGCTTGCTTCCCATAGACGTACCGTAAAGCAAGGCCGTACAGAACCTGGCTCAGAGCATTATTCTCCCCCTTTGGATCTGCCAGTCGGCCGAACATCTGCGTAGCCGTCACCAAATCTCCCGCTTCGTGAAGCCTGATAGCTTCTTGAATATTGTCATCCGCCTGCTTCGTCAACGGAGTTCCCTTCCCTGATCCCAATGACATATTCCCAAAGGCAAAATCCGGTGTATCTCCAGTTGGACTGCCGGGTCTGCTTCTCTCGTTCTGTCTCGCCAGCATCGTTGCCCGTAACTCCCACTGGTCTTCTACTCCCCCGCCACCAGGTGTGTTGTCATCCCCGCTGATCGCTGGTAAATCATTTGGCACAACGGCCGAGGTATTATCCTTCTTTCCCAAATGCAGCAGTTGTGATATCCTTTTGGGGGATGATTTGCCCTTGGACTTCTCGCTGTCGCGGGAGTTGGTGGACTTCATAGAATTACTCCGACTTCGCGCAAACAGCTTCGTTGATCTTGACTCGGAAGGCACTTCGGAGGATTTCTTCGAGGCCCTTTCGGAGTGAAACGAAGGGGGAGTTATGATCTCCTGCGTATGGGTGTCGCTCCTCATGAACGTAAATCCCGGGGGTGCTAGGGCGTCATGGTCTGGTTCTGGCGCATGCGCGTTGCTCTGCGCAATCTTGTCTTTCTTCTTGAGGAAATCTCGGAGAGGCATCTTGTGCGGGTACTGATATACCTTCGCTCTAGATGGATGATAGAGAATTTTAGCGCTGGGTTTCTAGTGGAGGAGGGGGGGCTGAAGTTGTCAGCCCGGTGAGTACTTGTACTTACGTTCGGTATGTGGTGTGGAAATAAGCAATCAATTTGCCCCTCTTCAATAGATACGCAGGTTGGCCTTGCAGTGTCGGAGCTTTGCGAGGGAAAGTGGATTCATTTAATAGGTAAATCTCAGTCTCTCAGTTTCAACCGTCAAATGTGTGCAGTGCAGGTGATGTAGTGAAGGTCGTTCGCGGTTGCTCTTACAGTCACATTTCGGGGCTTGGGGAGAAGGCGCAGTGAAGGGCGAGACGAGAGGGATGGATGTTGACGTTTTGAGTTCCAAGGACCTCCTCCAATCAATCTCACAACCCCAACCCCAGGCACAGATTCAACAAAGCATTTATAGTATCACAACCTCATAAAAGACCAGAATAATGTTACTCAACAAAGAGTAGTGACAATTAATGTTGGTGGCAGGTCTTTTTATTACTTCAACTAAAGTCCCATAGCTTCACCAACAAGCTATCCTCCAGACCCAACTCCGCATTTTGCTCGAGGAAGATTCTTTTGGGTATCTCATATTCTACAACTGGCACCTTCTTGACGTCCTTGCCCAACTCTGACTCAATCATCTATCCATTATTAGCAGACAATTCTCTCTTCCTAAGAGAAGGGGCAATGTACACTTCCATAAGAATGATCGAGAAAGTCCTCCAGATTATAAGCATGCTTAGTGAATTGCTCGGAAATAATCTTTGTGAGCGTAGCAACATTTGCATGATAGTGAGACTGCAATGTGGCGATCTCCCAAATACTACTTTGAATCGCATTTGTTTCCATTGGGTCCTCCTCGTCCATATCAAACGGGTCTACCGCACCCATCGTCTCAAAATTCACTTTCTCTTCATTCGTTCTGGGTACCCGATGGATCATGAACGTGCATGAAGGGTGCTTCTTGAACAAATTGTAAATCCAAGGAACGACAGCCACAATCCCCGATGGTGGGGCGTAAAGTGTCAGCCTCGCGAGTCTTTTGATGAAGCTTGCAACCAGAACAGCTGGGAGATGGGATGACCCTAGGAAAGTGTCCATGAGTCGGAAGAACCTCGATCGGTGCTTCGAATGTAATATTTCCGAGTCAAGTAAAGAATATAGCTTTCGGTAAAATGAGGGGTAGTCCAGATTTTTCTCTTGAATCAAATAGAAGACTCCAGATAGCGCCAATAATGAGGTCGATCCACCAGTATCATAGCAATCCGATAAGAAATCCATCAACAGTTCTGGCTTAAGGAACCAAGGCGCAATTGATTCTGACATGATTCTTAAGATCGATTTCCTCTGTTCCTTGTCCATTTCCATATTCATCAAGGCAAGCCAGGCCGTTTGTGCCCGTTTCTTATGCTGTGAAAGGGAATGGAGGGCATGCGTTTTCTTTTGGGGAGCCGGTATATAGAAGTCTTCGAGCTCATCATTTGATTCAGGAACGGATTCGATCGTCGTCAGAATCTCGAGGATATTGTCAAATAACTGGGTCGAGGTTGCAATTGAAGAGTTCGTCGAGATCTTTCTGCAAAATGGTTAGGCATGGCCAGCGAAACTAACCTTGGTTACTTACTGAATTGCTTCGAAAGTATAGAACCGAATATCGTCATACTCCTCGACGAATTTCTCACTGAATTCTTTCCGCGTACTTGCTTCGCTCTCTGGCCTCAGCAAGGTTCGCACAATTCCTGTAAGGAAAGTGCTAGGGAACTGGTAATCCTGATTATTTCGAACAGTCTCGCCGTCTGTCTTCAATAGACGCATACATAGAGTCAATGCCGTAGCACTGATTCCTTCTTCCCCCAGAAGATCAAGCAATGCCAATTTGTATTCCGAATACCGTTCTCTCAGCCATTTCGCAACAATCAACTCCTTCTCGCTGGCTTTGGCCTTGGATTCCAGATCTCCCGCGACCAACAATCTTGTGAAAACCCGGCATAGCGAAATGGCAGCAACCACTGAATCGTCGGGATCTTCCTTTTCCGACGTGAATATTTTGATTAATTTGGCGATGTTGTTGTAGTTCTTTTTCGACTCGAATATCTCATTCTCCAGTAGAAGTATTTGCGCCTGGGTATCTTCCTCTTCGTCGCTGCTTTCTGACCGTGCCCGTTTTATTGGTTTCTTTTCCGACGAAACTCTCTTGCGTTTGGCAGACTTGCCCGCCGTAGCTACAGTGGTAGCTGTAGGCATCGTGTATTGTGTTGGATATCGAATGTTGCGGGGCGCAAAAAGTTGGTTCTCTCTAATCTTCAAATCCTCGGAAACTTTCGCCGGGATAGAGAAATTTTGGTCCGATTTCAAGACTAACCAAATCACGTGAGACGTCAAATTGACTTCCGCATTCCGACCTCAATTCTTCGCTGTCCAAGAACGACGTCGAGCTTAGCAGCATCTCCCCTCAAACCATAATGGCATCACGTTTAGCAAGAAGCGCCGTAGGTATGTAACTGGACTGTCAACCGATCGGCGGAGATCAATTCTGGCATGCCATGATACTGACAATAGCTCCAGGCGCAGCTCGACTCCGACCAACTCTCCCCCTCCGTTCCATCCCAGCCCTCAGCACATGTATCACAGGCCATCGATCAGCTTCGACTACAGCCGTGGAGGATCCAAAGAAGAAGGCACAATCTATTCTAGACTCTCTGCCAGGTAACTCACTGGTCTCGAAAACCGCCATCCTTTCTTCCTCAGCTGGTGCCGCAATCTACGCCATCAGCAACGAGTACTATGTCGTAAACGAGGAGACCATTGTTGCGCTCTGCCTCCTGAGTGTATGGACTGCGGTCTTCAAATTTGGTGGACCAATGTACAAGGAGTGGGCGGATGGACAAGTTAACAAGATCAAGGGCGTCTTGAATGCTGCCCGTGCCGACCACACCGAGGCTGTTAAAACACGAATTGAGAGCGTCCAGCAACTGGGAAGCGTCGTAGATGTTACCAAGACATTGTTCGAAGTCTCAAAGGTACGTGTCAGGACTGGGTATGGTTAAAGGAAATTTCGCTCACTATTCACAGGAGACTGCCAAACTTGAGGCACAAGCCTATGAGCTTGAGCAAACCACTGCTCTTGCCGCTGAGGCCAAGACTGTTCTCGATTCGTGGGTTAGATATGAGGGACAAGTGAAGATTCGCCAGCAGAAGGAGCTCTCTGAGAGCATTATCGCCAAGATCCAGAAAGAGCTTGAGAACCCCAAAGTCCTTCAACAAATTTTGGCACAAAGTGTTGCCGATGTTGAGAGTAAGCAATTAATAAAGACCCAACGTTGCGATCATTGACTAATAACTTGGACAGGAATCGTGGCCGCAAAGGCGCAATAGATGGTGTTGGGAGGCCTTTCAATTTCCTTTATTACCTGTGTTCATAAAACCACTGTGCAATAGTCCATCAACCATTCCTCGAGTCCTTTAACGATTCAGTGATACCAACAAACAACGGGTGGTTCTGATCAGACAAATATGGCCCATGATGACCATAAGTCTTCAAGTCAAGCCAAATAAGTTAATTCCATTCACAATTTGTTCCATCTTTTGCCAAGCTTCCAGGTTTCCGGACCCTTGAGTCTTGGTTGAGTTGTTATAAATCGTACAACTATACAGATTGATCATAGGTAAGGTAAATTGCCCCATTGCTTTTCCCTTGAGTTACTCTGATGATTCAACGCAATTCGTCTATCAAGGAAGATATGCTTATATTTTCCTCGCCTATGGTTCTTGGTCAATGCGTATAAACCTGGGAAGTCGGCTTCCTTCTCTCGTTTCAAGTACATATTCATTTGTTTCAGAATACGTTGATATTTTATAAAGAAACCTGGCACCTTGCTACTTTGCCACTAATACGTTGTCATGTTTTTGGGGGGCTGGATGCATTTGCAAGTCTTGCATAGAATTTGAAGAGCGTTTCTTCACCTGCAGCCTTTGATCTGGTTCTTGTTTTAATACGCAATCGGGATAGTAAATGGAGAAGTCTGGGGGTTCAGATATTGGCCTATCGAACTGGTCATCCCCAGACCTAACCATCTAGGGAATACTGACCACAGCTACTCATTGCGGGCGTTCTTTTCTTTGGAGATGCCGCCATTCACAACACTTTTCGCTGGTCAATTTGCAAGTATTGCCTCGCTTAGGCACATTCACGAAAGAACTATGGATTGTTTCTCATGATCTTTGTCGATGGAAATATTTTGCAAGAAATTCAATCGGCCTTGCCATTTTTGCACAAAGACTTTAGGAAACTTCAATTGTTCTCAACAAAAAACAGACGAAACACAAGAGAACAATGCAGTCGACACCAGAAATCTCGACATTTACAGAACAGCTCAGTCTCGATGCCCATAAAATAAGCGGCTGTCTGATACGAAATGGAGCATCAACCACCGCCTTCATCTCATTTTAGTTTCTACTCACTCAGTCTACCAATACTCGATACTAGAAATCAGAATGTGTTACTTCAAGCGATACCTATTCTCCTGCTCCCACCACTCCAGCTGGGGAGCCGAGGTTCGAACATGTCGACTTCAAGAGACCTTCCGTGAAGGTACAAATGATGAGGCATGTACTGCGCAATGGGCTCATCCTCGGATGACCTACATTCTCCCAGTGCCTTGTCCCGAATGCGCGGTTGAACGTGCTGCAGAGGAAGAAGAGTGCAAAGCTCGGATCGAAGAGTGGAGGACGAAAGATGAGGAGGCGAAGAAACGACGCGAAGAGCTTGATCGAAAGCGAGAAGCTACTCTCAAGGACTTGCACGATAAGTTCGAGGAGGCTCGGTCGAAGATGAAGAAGTGGGAGAAGTTTGAGGAGAGTGGGTTTGAGGATGATGAAGAGAGTATTAAGGAGAATGAGAGTTGGGATGTTGAGGTTGAGACTTTGAGTCAAAGTTTTGGCCGCTCACCTACTCGTTCGCCTTGATAAATTACGCCCTTGATCATTTTCATTTTAACCTTCTTAATCTGAAGATGTTTCCTTCCGAAATTTTCATTGAATGGCCCCAAATGGCCGGTCAAGAACTGTTCTTTATACTCAAGTGAGTACGTTTGTCCCCTTTTTTCTTTCATGGAAGATCCCACTTTTCTCCGTGATGAGAAATCAACTTTAATACAAAACCCCTAACCCAAAATACTTCCGCGCAATAATCCAGAATGTTAACTGCTGTAATCCTAAATCTTTTGGAATACCTGATAAAACTCATGCCGAAGTCGTTGAAAAAAAGACATGCTAATAAAATTGATTAGGACGAGAAAGTAACAAATCACTCGTCTCCTCGCCGCAATCCTTAATGTCACCATGTACTGACTGGGCGTTGACTGGCTGGTTCGCGAATGACTCGGATGAACCCATCCATACGCGGGGAGACACCTTCTAAACTTCTCAAGCGCCAGGCAACCACCGTTCCAATATTATGTATCCATGCTCCACATGTCTCTCCTGCATCTAGGAGTCGACGGATCATGCAGCTCGTCATGTTTTGTGAGAAGGACAATAATGGAAAGCCACAGATTTTATGGGCGAAGATGTTTGGACAGTATTGTGGTTCTACCAATGTGATCCAACAACGCATCCAAAATATGATGATATACCTGCTAAGTCAGGGCGCTCGCTTCTTTCTGCTGTTTCAACTCCGCATGTATCCTGAATGTTGGTGTTGGAATACAGCCGTTGCTGCAGCTCTCACAGCTGAAGACAGTGAAGTCCGCAGCGTACTCTATATGGAAAACTCAGCAGAAACGGGTTGAGTTGTTTGACGTGAAAACATACTCATCCGAACGCCGTCGGGGTTCGTTGGGAGAGTAGGCGCAGCACGACGGTTTAGGACGGGATGGAATCCTTCTTGACTGGTAATTTGCCATACATCTGGGTATTTCCCACATTAAATGAGTTATTCGGTGGTGCTCCTTTTTGGCATTATTCTCTACTCTTCTGTTATTTTCTTTTCTTTTGCGGTCTTTAATTTTCGTTTCTTTTCTTATTTCTACTTTGTTTTTCCCATTTTCAATCCGATTCTCCTCCAATGGCGCACGCGAAATTACAATTCGAAGATGGCCTGGAGCTGGCTCACTATCGAACAACAGAGAGTACCTATAGTTCAAACGGTGTCAATAACACCTATGGGGGAACAGCTGGAAACGACTATGGAGGCATGGAAGTTAACGAATATGGAGGAATGGAAGCACACGAATACGGAGGGAATACTCGGGCAATGTCGCCGGATGGTGGATACCCATACCCTGACGACAGTGCAGAGAAGATACCAAATGCTTCTAAGGGTCACGATAATGGGATGAACTCGAAGCTACGCAGAGACCTTAAGACGAGGCAGATGTCTATGATAGCACTAGGTGGTGCTTTGGGTACCGGACTTCTCATTAACACGTGGTTTGACAATGCTTTGAATATACATTCGGTTTGCTAATATGCATAGTGGTCCATATCTTGCGCGATCGGGTCCTGTTTCTATGCTTTTGGGTTATGGTCTGGTGGGAGTTTTATGTTACTCTGTTATGGCTGGAATGGGAGAGATGGCTACTTGGCTTCCGCTGGCGTCTGGATTCACAGGCTTTGCTACTCGATTTGTTGACCCGGCTTTGGGATTTGCAACTGGTAGGTTTCCCTAGTAATCCTTGTTGTAACCGAACTGATGAACTCTAGGGTGGACTTACTGGTTGGAAGTCAGAATTCTCATCATGTTGCCTTGGATATAGCTAACGAACTAGAAGTATATCGTGACGACCCCAAATAATCTTATCGCATCCACGCTCATTATCAGATATTGGTTCGACAAGGAAGGTTATGATGGGCCAGGCTCGAATCCTGCGATATATGTCGCTCTTTTTCTGGTGGCCATCATCGCAATCAATTATTTCGGCGTTGGGGTCTTTGGCGAATTTGAATTCTGGTTAAGTTCCTCGAAAGTGCTCATCATGCTTAGTCTTATCATGTTCACGTTCATTATGGCAATTGCTGGCGGGTCTAATGCAAAAGCACCAGGATTCAAATACTGGAAAGAACCTGGCGCATTTGCACCATACGTAGCGAGTTAGTATTTCCATCCCGACTTCTGAAACACCCACTAACAAAGCAATGCAGCTGGAAGCTTAGGAAAATTTCTCGGCTTTTGGGACGTATTATCATCGGCAGTGTTTTCATTTCTTGGTGCCGAGCTTGTTGGAGTAACTGTTGGAGAAGCACAGAACCCACGGAAAGCAGTGCCCAAAGCCATTAAGTTGACTTTCTTTCGGATTGTCTTCTTTTATATTGTGCTTATTTTTCTTCTGGGATTAAACATCCCTTACGACTCTGCTCTCTTGCTTTCAGCAAACAGAGAAGGAGACCGAACAGTCTCGGCTAGCGCAAGCCCCTTCGTCGTGGCAGCCACCCTTGCAGGCTACAAAGCAATACCGGATCTAATCAACGTCTGTCTTTTGATCTTTACATTTTCCGCCGCAAATTCAGATCTCTACATTTCGACACGATCTCTCTACTCCCTAGCAATTGACGGGAATGCGCCCCGAATATTCGCCAGAACCAACGACCGTGGTGTTCCCGTCTACGCACTCGGAGTCTCCTCTTGCTTAGCTCTACTAGCATTTATTTCCGTTGATGTTGGATACTTCGCTACCTTCCAATACTTCGTCTCTCTCGTCACAATCTTCGGGATCTTGACTTGGGTTTCTATCCTCATATCCCATATCTTCTCCGTTCGAGCACGTTATGCCCAAATTGTGCCGGACACAGCATTAACATACGTCTCGCCCTTCGGAATAAAAGGCTCTCTCATCTCGCTCATATTCGCACTTGTGATCCTACTCTTCAATGGCTTTGCGGGCTTTTCTACCGACCCCGTTACGGGTGAGAAATTCCGCTGGCGTACATTTGTTGTGAATTACATTGATGTTTTTATTTTTCTGGGAATGATTGCTGGGTACAAGATATTTATGAAGTCTAAGATCTTGGGTGCAAGCGAGGCAGATCTATGGAGGGGAAAGGACAAAATTGATGCAGATGAGAATGAGTATCTTGCGAGGGAGGAGATGAGGATGAAGGGTCACAAGGAGGGGAAGTGGGAAAAGTTGTACCGGGTAACTTTGGGAAATTTCTTCTGAAGGTTTACATTTGGCGTTTTGGGTGGAAAGAATCTTTCACCTTTTTCTTCTGGCGTTAAATTTTTGAGAGAATCGGGTGTAAATTTATCTTTCTAGATAGATGAGGAGTTATGACGAAATGAAATTGTGAAATACTAGCTTAACGGTCAACTCGTAAATGAGAAGGTATTATAGTAGAAGTCCTAGAAAATTCGAGAAACTGTAATTTTTAGAATTTCATAGGTTATTAATTTTAAACTATTGCCATACGTACTGGTGGATCAGTCCTGTCGTTGAAAGGGACATCCCGCTTCAGTAAACCGGCCTCGCTTAGCTTATCGACTCCCTTAGCCGACCACTCGTACCTAACTGAAACGAGTTATCTTCAATCCATCGTGCATCACTCGAGGCTTACAAAAACTAACTACGTAATTTCTTCTACTAAAGTGGAATAAGTTCTGTATTGGCTGGTGCTAAAGTCTCGGACGGCAGATGAGAATAAGTTACAATCTCAACGGCTATCACGATAGCGGAAATACTTTCAGGCAGTAGTTGCGAAACTGAGTATGAAGATTGGTTCACTTATTACAATGTCGAACGGAGAATAATCACAGTTGCCGTCCTGACTTGGGTGATTGATGAACTCGGGGATATAATCCTTCCGATAAGAGGATCTTATGGAAATAGAGAATATGTGCGTTAAGACTGTTAAGGACCTTCCTAAAAGGCTTCTCTTAATAAGCATTACGCAATATGTATTACAGCTATATACATTGAGACCAACGTAATGCCAGTATGATATACACCACGAGTATACTATTCCTGGGAACTTTCTATCAAAGCCTGTTTTATGCTCAGTTTGTTCTTTACATTGGAGTTTCCATAAGTGGCACCAATGAGTCCCGAGCCTGACTATATAGGCAAGTTCCAATTACGCCAATATCACAGAATTTCGTCTAAGGTAACCAGGCTTCTGCCTCCAGCACTATGTGTTTGAAGATGGCCTCGGCTACCATATGGATAGTTACAATACCAAACACTTAAAACTCATTCACCTAGTCCCAACCACCCGCCGTTATAACCACAAGTAAGAGAGTATTTGGTATCTTTCAAGTGAAAGTATCTTGCTGGACCAGTGGTCACGGCGTCAGTCCTATATGTATATACCCGTCTAGGAGCACCGACGAATAAACTGCTCCGCTAGCACTGCGATAAGTGTTACTCATATCCGAATGTGAGAGGAAACCTTAGGAGTTTGCCTGCCTAATCGTCCTCTTAATGCGGGATGGGGGAAGACTTAGCGATACGCGGCGACGTACTAGTGGCAGTGGCTTAGTAAATAGTGGATCGTGAACTTCTTTTTGCTAACCAAAGTTTGGGGATTAAACCTGAGCTGAGATTGCTCTTTGGTGTTTTTAATTCCATCCTCCCTCTTTTTGCATTCTTCTAAAGCAGGTGGTAATATCAGAATTGAGGCTAAGAAGCTACAGGAAAGAGTGAACAGAAAGGCACTGGCTGGGACTACGACGCATGCGTCAGCAATGAAGTGAATTTTCAATCGCTAGCCTGAGCGAGATTGTAGCAGCGAGGGCGGAGTATTGATTACGCTAGTGGGGTTTCTTTCACAATCTTGTAGGGGCTCTAATAGACAAGATAACATGTATTTCTATTGCTAATACATAAAACAGTGGTGCATATAATTAGCGACTTATTCGTTATTCGTCTTTCATACAAATAGGACGCCATTATACTAGAACTATAGTATAAAGTATAGCGAAAGGTCACGGGAAGAATTCCAAGTCTGTCTCGTTACTTACTTCAGTACAGATAGTCCAACGCTTTGCCAAGTTTGCTTTTATATATCCAGGATCATGGCGGGGCAAAAAGGTGCACGTCATGATTTGCGTGTTCTTGAGAAATGGAAATGATTTGATGGAAGAAAAGAAGGGGAACGGGGGCGGTAAGGAAACAGAGAAGCATGAGCAATTTGATGCGAACTGTTCAATAAAAACGTATCAAAGTACAATGATTTATAAGCACAAGTAATGAGGGTGTAGTCTAAAATACAAAACACAATTTCGCGTTCCCAAACAAAAAACAAAAGGACAATATAACAAACAACACATTCTAATTCTCCCGAGCTTCAAATCTTTTACCTCACAGACTCTGATTGCTCCCTTGTTGAAGCCTAAAACTTGGCCGCGTTCAAGTTACCGGAGAAGGTAGAATCCTTGAGAGGCACAACGGCAGCACCAAAGTTGGCTTGCTCAAGAGCAGAAGATGCAGCTGCTGGTAGCTTGGACCATTCAATCAACGGATGGGATCCTCCGTTGTCATCAGACGTGAAGATGGCGTGGGTGCCGTCAGGACGATAGTTGAGCTTGGGTCTGTCGCCGTTGAGCTTGAGGTTTGAGGTATCGCAATGCCATCCTCCGTGGCGAGATCTAGGCGGTATCAGATTTTATCTCCAGAGTACACAAGTCTGATGAGAAGTAAGAAGATAATGGAGTGAGTGTACTTACGGGCAAACGGCGAGGATTTTGGCATCGGCAGCGTCTTTATCGGCCCAAACCACGACACCTTCCCAGTCATTGCGGTGTCCACCTGGACCGAGGGCAATTTGATCTTTTGGAAAGTACCTGATGCGAGAATTAGTCACAAACAAGGCCTCTTGTTGCAAAGAGGCGTAACATACCATGCGTAGACAATTCCAAATCTTCCATCAACCATTTGGCCACGAGCATAAACCTGACCAGGACTCGCAGAACAACCACCATTGATTGATAGCACCGGTAGTACCAAGTCCGTGTCTATAGATCCATTTAGCAATTTTGTACCGTCGGTGGAAAAAGAGCCCACTTACGAAAGCTGGCCGACATCATTGACGGCTGGGTATGGAACACATCCAGAAGTCATACTGAGAGTTGGTTGGAACTTCTTGATAGCAGCACTATTGTAAGACTCGGCAAATGGCTTGACACCGTTGTAATCAATGTACTCGACGGCATTGATCAGAGCTGGCAAGGAGAGGAGAGAGACTCCTAGGGCAAGGAGACCGCTGGCGTTGAACGAGTACATTTTGAAGGTTCGTTTTCTGAGTAGTGACGGAAAATTGTAGGGATCAAGGAGTGAATATGGGAAAATGATAATAGGAGAATGAAAGTATGAATGTGAAGACAGGAAAGTGTTGAAGGTAGACAAGAGGGCGAGGAGATAAGATGGAGAGAGGGCAAGGCCGTCTTATAGGAAAAATACTGCACCAAACTCATTTCCATGTCCTTATTGAAGTATACATGATCTTTTTCAGGTTGTAAAACATTCTGTAAGCGGGTATTGAAGAGGATTGCCAAGATGGTAGTGATAGCAAAATACCCTCTATATTCTCCTAACTTGGGCGAAATCTGTGGGTCAAACACGCAGTCTCATGAAATCAAGGTTCTTGTACAAGGAAAATCCAGCGAAGCAAAATTTTCCAATAAGGCTGAAATCCCACGAAGAGGCATCAAGGGGTGAAGGAATTTGTACCTGATGAGATCATGAGGCCAGAATATTAAAGGTACCTTTCGAATTTATTTCATAGTTCAACAAAGACCCGAAGATTAAGTATAATTACTTTGAAATACCCTAATAATTAAGTTCAAGTAATTCTTTTGCTCCAGGAGAGTTGAGGTAAACGTATATTGTAAAGGGTATTGCTGTTGGAATGATCGAACTATTTCTTAGCCCCTTGGTGGGGTAAGGATTCATGAACATGTAGAAAATGACCTTGTTACTAATCACCTCCAACATATCTGAGCATAATAAAGGAATACGAGTGGGAGCAAATTTCGGGATCTACACAACATCCAAGGATGACTTCCACATGTGATAAAACAAAGCAGTTATCTGACACTCGTTAACAAATCATTATTTTTGGAATTGATGACAGCAACTTGGAAAGAGTTTCTGCAAGCCAGCCAGCCTCCCGCAATTCGTTTTCGACCATGACCAATAGCATTCATGAATAGAGCAAGGCTTAAGGGCATATTATCTTGGTAAAAACTGGTCATGCCTTCCATTTTCGCTTGCGCAGCTGCGCTAAGTGGAGTGGCACGATGCCAAGGTCGATAATTATTAGATCTAGACTCCGTCTTTGCTTGATTAATAGGTGGGGGACAAGTCAATTTTTTGGGATTGCCAGACCACAAGGCTCTCATACGGTCCAGGAGGTATTGCAGGTGGCCAATCTTTTCGGATTTGCTGAAGTTCTGGAAAACTCGCTTGCCGCAAGTTGCCACAATTTCTGTAAAACCTTCCATATTTCTAAAATATTCTATTTACAGCAACCCTATGAGGTGTTGAGAGCAAGATCACGCTTAAAGTCAACGAGGCTGAATAACAAAAGTGCTGCATTTCAATTTATTAAGCGCTTACGCGGAGAAATAAAGTTGAGGCGAGGATCACGATAGTCAAGATATTGTGGCGGGTGGGGTTTCAGCCTCAATCCTACAAAGTACCTATACTTAGATGTCTTAGATAATTGCTGGCTGTGTAATTAATACTGTCTGTTCCGTACCTGCTTTCTAATTCGTACCGTTTCGAGGGATTCAATCACTGCATGCAGGTTTGCATTCTTCTTTGATCAGCACGTGGTTATGCTACTGCGTCGAAACTTCTTGGATCTTTGCTAAAATTGTTTGTAAATATGCAAGTAGATAAAAATACAGATGAGGGAGAGGTAAGGATGAGTTTTGGTTTTTGATTACTGTATTCTTGGCCAATCCTGCTGCTGTACAGTACAGTAGAAGGCTTCGTCCTGCGCTGATCTCGATCCGATGTTGGCTTGGCAATTGGACCCCACTGTACCTTCGTCGCTATTCTAAATTTACATCTAAAAGGCACAGCCAGGATTCATATACATGAAATTTTCCTATTTTCCTATTTTCCTATTTTGCTATTTCGCCATTTTGCTCGTACTTTTTTGCATATGGTATCTTGTCCTTGTTGTTGAGCTTTGGGAAGTGGGTAGAGCGTGGATTGGAAAATTCACAGGATATGCTAAGCGGAACTGTAGACTAATAACCACTAGGGTTGAGCGTAGATAGGTGTATATCGCGAACAACTTTATTAGAGGAGCCCAACAGCTTATCTTAAGGATAAAATTGTGTCTAGTCAAGTATAGAAGGCAGAGAACCATCGTTGGGTTGAATGACTTGTTGGTTATCTCGTGTAATGTGATATGTTTGAAGTTATTATAATAATTCTCGAGCCCGGATAATTTAAAGTTCTTGATTTTCTGTAGGGAATTTTCCAAATACATATCGAGTTATTTTACTCAAATCAAACGAGTAATTTGATCCAAGAAGGGCTTTGAAGGAGATATGTATACTCCTTTAGAATGCATAAGAGAGGTGAATGGTCTCGTAAGATGTAGTTCTGGTAGATTTATTAGTTTCGCTTATGAAAAGGGGTAAATTTGACGAACAGTGGTCTACATTTGACCAGAGCAATTTTATTCCGACACCTAATGAACTCATTATGGATCTCACTCCGTACCCTGGAGGATCCATGAAAGCCTCGAAGCGCGTTATCTTGCCAGTGGTCGGATCAGGACCCTTCCAGTGAGAATAAGTGATGACTCATGATAGCTATCGAACCACCGATGACCAGAAAAGCACCGATGCAAAGTAAGTTTTCTTGCGCATCCTTACAAAACGCAATGCCCGAATGCCAATTTACCATTCTTCTATTGGGAACATGCTGTGCCTTGTACTCTTCAATCCCAAGCCCATCAATCATTTGCACGGGAGAGTATGCCCCCTTTTCTCTCTTACGCTTCCCACTGGTACAAACCCGAGCTCTAAATCCATGTCCTAGGAACAATTCCATAGAAGCGTATGTAATCTTCTGCAAAAAAGAAGCGCTAGAAAAACGTTTTCTTCGGATATTTTGTCGTAACTTTCTGTTGGGCATACTCTCGCCCAAGCACAATTAGTTCCAGTCGAGTTTACCACAGCCGCCGGGCATGAAGCAGTATTGAATTTCTCCTTTCTGGGAAAAAGAAAGTACCAGCACAAGAACTGGGCTTTGCCTTATCTTGGTTGAGACTTACAACGTCCGCCTGCTGGGACACTTGGAGTAAATTATGAGCTACGTATAATTTCTAGGTCGTCGAGTATGGTTTTCGATTATTTACAGTGACATACGGTGTCACAGCGTAAGTCTTTCCATCCACGACTGTCAAGATCAGCGTTTGAGTATACGTTGGCCCATCGATAAAGGTATAAGCTGGCGTGACAGCAAATGTTTGCCCATCAAGAACAGTAAGAATAGGCCAGGCAATCCTTGAGCTGGGCAATTCATTAGCTATTGAGGTAAGTTGCAAAACTTACTATTATATACGTGACCCGAAACTGTGAATTACACACCACTATTTACTCCGTCCGGACCCTCAATATAAACTTGAGATGTTGCTGTATGCGCCTGGGTTGTGATTGTATTGGACTCGTAAACGGCTATTTTTTGCAATAGAAGAATCAATCATAATCCACAAAATCTAGTGATATTTCACTTTGGAGTCCAACCACTCGAGGACTCTCGGGGTTTAAATCAAGAGAACCAGAATAGGTATCAAGATTTACGGTTGTGGTTTCTGCAATTCAACACCCTCTTTCTCTTTCTATGCACGAGTTGTGGTAGACCATGACAGGAAAGAGAAAGACAAAGAAATCAACTCACCATTTTCCCGTTTAAAAAAAGCTCGCTTATCAAGCGCGTTAGAGATAACATCCAATACCCTCGCATAGCCCTCGTGTACAGGAATGCGCTGAATGGGAAGCTCTGTAACTGCAAAGAGGCTTATGATGAAGTCCAATAGAAATAGTAGAACTGGAGTCCTCGTAGCCGAGGCCTTATAGTACCGCCTCGAAGCTATCAAAGCGATTATCAGTGAGGATATTTGTGCCCTGCAGGTACGTAACGTTTTGATGGTAAACTTCCTTCCTATTGTAATAATTGATGTTAAGAACTCGGCACGGTCTACGTGTTCACAAAAGCCAGAGAGGTGACTGGTTTGTATATGAAAAATAGGCAAGGCTTTTATGGCTCGCTAAAGCTCTTCACTTCTAAGCCAAAATTTCGAGGCTTCGGTATAGCTTCAGCTATCAAATACCACCAATAGTAAGTCCGGTGGAGAGAATTGCAGAAGGAAATATGAACCTAGCGCATAAAAGATTGGAAGCAGGGTATTAGTACAGCCAAATGACTTTCAAAGATGACTGATTTCTTTCCGTTAAGTTCCTTTGGCATCCAGATTCGCTTGGCTCCAAGTCTTGAGCCATCACAAGCATGGAAATGAGAAACGAGATCAGAGTCATGAGCATCAGGTCATGAACATAGGGTCTTGGTATTCGTGTTACAGGGCCCGTAAAGTTGTACAGACATTCCCAAATATATTACAAGCAGGTCATGGTAGAATCGTAAGAGCTGTACCACACAACCAGGATACTATCAAGGCGCTTCCTTCATAAAGATTCCTGTCCAACTCTCTGCAGCTCTTCCAGGCGATTTATTTTAACCTCCGCAATCTTCAATATCGTGAACTTCAGTTTGGTCTGAACCCAGTTAATTCTCCTGTTCCTTCGTTTTTTCTTCTCCTTGATTCTCAAAGGCTCCGCTTCTGTACCCATTACCCTGGCTCTGCACTCGAACAACCTCTCGTCCACGTACGGTGCTCCCTTCAATGTATAATCGCGAGAACCCAAGTTGGCTGCCCGATTTAGACGTAATACGTCCCCTGGAACAACACCAGGCATGTGGAATGGTAGTCGTACGGTATCTCCAGCAGTGACAAGATATGGCTTGCCGTGGATGTGTATGGTGATGTAGTGTGAGGGCTGGGCGGCCAGGAGAGGGAGCATTTCTGTGATTGAGGGATCGAGGGCTAGGGGTTTCGCAATTGGCGCAGGTTGTAGAGGAACACTTCGACGAACATGATTTGCTATTGAAGTGACGCTATTTGTTTGCTCTGGTGTCGACTTGAGGGGTAATTTGGGTGCATCAAGTCCTTGGGGGGGTGGATCAATGTGCTGAGTAGTGGTTTGGAGGTATCTTGCGCCGAAGGGCAGCAAAAAGGTCGGAGGAAACGTCGGCGTGGATGTGATTTTGGCGTCCAGAACAGACCGTCGTATCGCTCTGCTGAACATGGTAATTGTACGAATTCGCAGGAATTGGAGTTAGCTAGCCAGCACTAATTACATTCATGGTGTCGTGGGTCTCAACTTTTTGAATACGGCGCTAGTCCCAAACTGGCAACGCGGATTTTTCCTAGAGAAGTCGACAGGGCGGGAATTTCTTATCGATTACCCAAACAATTTTCAACCTCCCCGCGACAATCTTTTCGACATTCCCAACAACTCATCATGGTATGTGAACCGCTGCTAGAATTGTCTGCATCTGCATCCCAACCTAACCTCTGCACAGCCTCAAAATGAGTATATGGACCGGTGGCGAAAGCTGCACGGTCGCAGGCTCGACCACGAGGAACGAACACGCAAGAAGGCCGCTCGAGAGGGACACAAAGCTTCAGAAGATGCGCAGAAACTTACTGGATTGAGAGCGAAGTTGTATCAGAAGAAGAGACATCATGAGAAGATTCAAATGAAGAAGCAGATCAAGGCCCATGAGGAGCGCAATGTCAAATCTTCCGCACCCAACGAGCCATCCACGACGCCACTCCCACAATATCTTCTCGATCGTTCGAATCCCACGAATGCCAAGGCTTTGTCTAGTGCGATCAAGAACAAGCGCGCGGAGAAAGCAGCGAAATTCAGTGTCCCTCTACCCAAGGTTCGAGGTATCGCTGAGGAGGAGATGTTCAAGGTCGTCAAGACTGGAAAGAAAACTGCAAAGAAGGGATGGAAGAGAATGATTACAAAGCCTACATTTGTCGGACCAGGTTCGTGCTCGATAAATTTCTCTTGTTTCTGGAAATATCTTTGAACAACAAAAGTGGATTTGTATAATCTGTGCTAATTTATATCCTACAGATTTCACAAGAAGACCTGTCAAATACGAGCGTTTCATCCGACCTATGGGTTTGCGTTACAAGAAAGCACACGTAACACATCCAGAACTCGGAGTTACAGTCAATCTTCCAATCATTTCAGTCAAGAAGAACCCTCAAAACCCAATGTACACACAACTCGGTGTTTTGACCAAGGGTACCATCATCGAGGTCAATGTCAGTGATCTGGGGTTGGTTACTGCTGGAGGCAAGGTCGTTTGGGGTAGATGGGCTCAAATCACCAACAACTGTGAGAACGATGGATGTGTCAATGCGTAAGTTTTGAGCAATACTCCGATTTGAGTATTCTAGTAGCTAACTGTTGCAGCGTTCTTCTTGTTTAATGTAGATTCGATTGTGTAGTAGGTCTTTTGGCATTGGCACGGAGTTTGAGGATTGGAGTTACGGAAGAATGAGAGTACCAAACAGGTAGCTCTACTGAAAAAGCTTGATCACCAAAATCGGACTTTCATATTTGAGATAATACCCAAAACATATCACTAATACTTCTCTACTCTTTTGTTTACATCAAGTTTAGGTAATTTTGCTGGTAAGAAGCAAATTCCATTATTTGCGTCCTCCCTTTATGGGGCAGCTTGAGGCTGCAGACGCGGTGGACGAGACCAATCATAGCCCACCCTCGGCCCTTTGGGTGATTGAATATCCTTTGGCTCATAGGCTTTATTAATACATTTACTTCGTACTGCTATTCCAGCAATATTTGTCTTTTATTACACAGCGGTACGGAGCAGAACTATTTTTGGATACTCATAATCCCTTCACCATTCGTAGCTATATCGCTGTTTGTTTTTGTTAGTCCTTTCAATCACAAAGCCAATTCAAGTGAGCTGGTACTTTGAAATAACACTGAATGACTAAAGCCTATGTTGGCATTTTCATTTACTAATTACACTTTTACCACCCAAAAGTCCCACAGTAAAGTCCTACTGTTTTCAAACTCAGACAAACGACCCAGCTACCTACCATTAGATACCTACCAAACCAGATACCGGTGAAATCTGTCACTATTCCTGCAACTGATGAACAAGATCCTCTAAAAGTTACGTATGCTATTGCTGGATGCCTCCTGGACTGGGTCAAGAAGATATTCCTACAATTTAAGAGTGTGAGAGAAGGAGCGATGACCTTGGTCAGGTGTGATAACGGTAACACAACCTTCCAATCCGCTTTTGGCGAAAAATTGCATGGGTGGTACAGTACTGTACGTTTACAGTATTGGGACATTTTAGCGACCCAAGTCTCTGGTCCTGGTGTTGAGACTCAAGATCCTCTACTGTACCAGAACTGCCGACCCTGCTGTCAGATATTGTTCTCTTTGCATGACTTGTTGAAAAGTCTGACTGTACCTCGTGGTGCAGGAGCTTTTAACCTTGAACGACCTTGGTAATTCTTCAATTATCATATGCAAGTAATGGTTCCACCAATCCCAACTCCCCCCATATACGTATGTACAATATATTTCTGCTACTATACCCGGTGTTCTTGGGGCGGCCGCGTTGCTCCCAAACGGGCGCGTTTAACCGTCTAGAGTACCAATCGATATGACGAACTCAACCATAAGAGCATCACAATCATCAATTCCTCAATTGGTTCAGGTTCTTTATAATTTCGAGACGTCATCGTCAATTATTCCATCATGATTCGCTCTTCCGGGTTTTCGTCGACACTTCAAATTCTGAGTCTCATTTCCTTTAGTACAGCTCTTCCCAATCGACCACAATTTCGTGAAGCAGATTTCGCATCAGCAGTCAACCAAGCCTATGATTATATAATTGTCGGAGGTGGTTTGGCTGGGTTGGTTGTTGCAAATCGTCTTACTGAACAAAAAGACAGTAAGTGTCTGCGGATCTTCGTATTGGAAACTTTCAGTAGCTTACCATTTGCTTAGAAACAGTGCTTGTTGTAGAAAATGGCTATCTCAACGACTTACCTATCGCCATTGTCCCATACTATGTGAATACTCTCAATCCTGATAATTTATACCCAATCATTAGCGCTCCTGAGCCATACATGAAAAATCTTACTTTTCCAGTAAAGGTTGGTAATGTCGTTGGAGGTGGATCAATCGTCAATGGCATGTTATTTGATCGAGGCTCGAATGCAGATTATGATGCTTGGGAAGAGCTCGGCAATGAAGGATGGGGATGGAGTGGACTCGAAAAATATTTCAAAAAGAGCACACATTTCACTCCTCCATCAGAAGCGGCAACAAAGGAGTTTGGACTTACTCATGATGCATCGGCGTACGGAAATGGACCGGTGCAGACCCATCTTACAAGCTATCAATACCCGGACATCAAGACTATCTTCAACTCCTACCGTGCTGAGGGAATACCGATGCCAATAGAGGGGTTTGCAAACCCAATTGGAGCCTATTGGTGTCCTAGTGATATTGATAACAGAACCGCAACACGTTCAAGCTCTCGGGCTGCTTATTACGATCTCGCAGCAAATCGAACGAATCTCAGACTACTCACCGGCACTAGAGTCAACCAAATTCTCATTGAGACCGATAATGGAAAGCTTATTGCGAAGGGCGTACAAATGGTATCTCGTACCAACAACGCAGTAGCAACTGCATATGCCAGAAATGAAGTCATCATGGCCGCTGGTGCAGTTTTCACTCCACAAATTCTCATGTTGAGTGGAATTGGTCCCAAGGATATTCTTATCGCAGCCAACATCACTGTTAAAAAAGACACTCCAGCAGTAGGGTCAAATTTCCAAGACCATACCCCCCTGGCTATGACTTTCAACCTCACGAACACTACATTTCCTGATCCGAGTTCCCTGTCCACTAACACCACATTCAACGCCGAGTCAGCAGCCCAATACGCACGAGATCGTAGTGGGCCTTACTCCGTCACTCGTGGATCTGCATCATCCTTTCTCACATTCAATACATACTCCAAACATTACAAAAACATCACTTCAAGAATCACACAACAAGACGCCACAAGGTACCTCCCCGAGCGATATAGCAAGAACAAAGCCCTCCTCTCAGGCTTCAGAAAACAACGAGAAATACTAGTCAACCAATTCCTCGGCGATGCAGCAGCAATAGGCGAAGGAACCATCCAATCCTGGGGTCACAGCACAGTGGTCCTGCAAAAACCCCTCTCTCGAGGGACCATCACGCTCAACACCACACATCCCGAATCCGCCCCCGTCGTTTCCTGGAACAGTCTCATGAACCCCATCGACAGCGAGGTGCTCTGCGAGATGGTCCGCTGGAACCGAGTTCACTGGGCCCGAAAAGAACTTTCCATGTTCAGTCCTGTGGAAAACCAGCCCGGGGCACAGTATACCACTAATGAGGAGATTATATCTGAATCTGTTAGATCTGGGGTTTTGACTCCGACTTTTGCTCATATGTCTGGCGGATGTGCTATGATGCCCAGGGAATTGGGCGGTTGTGTTAGTGAAAATTTATTGGTTTATGGGGTGGAGAGGTTGTCGATTGTGGATGCTAGTATTTTGCCACTGATTCCTGCTACTCATTTACAAGCTACTATGTATGCTGTTGCAGAGAAGGCGGCTGATATTGTTAAGGAAAGATAGATTGGTGATTTTTGAGGCAGAGATACAGATCCAACTCCCGTTAGATGTCACTGTTCAAAGTTCAATTCCTATTAAGTGTACTGTACGAGGGGTGCAATTGAACTGTATGAAGGCTATTTCATCTACCTGTAGGAATTACATCTAATCACAACAAACGAGCTGTCACGAACACGGTGTTACAAGCTTACACATTTCAGTCACATTGAAAGTTTGGAGAAGTCACGATAGCTTGAATAAGACATAAATTCAAAATGCTAGTACTAATTAATGTACAATTACAATATAGGACTCAAAAAAACTCGCAATAGCAAACCCACATACTATAGTACCTTATATCCACACAAGAGCTCAGTACTTTACAGCGCTTTGAAGCACATGTAACGCGGTATTTAAGCACCTATTTCATCCTAGTCTTCTCCCAGTAGTCCTATCCAACCAATGCAAGCTGCTTTTTGTTTCTCCATGGCCCTGGATATTTTGTTTTTTTGTTTTGCATGCAATGGAGTTGGAAGTTTTCTTTTGTGGTTGTTGTGGTTTGGACTCAGTGTAGTTTTTTTTTGGAGGAGGGTTGGGAGGGAGGATTTGTGACTGGGTAGTTGTTTTGTTTTTCTTTTTCTTGCTGACCTAGGTACCGGTGGAAGAGCTATTGTGCTTTTCTGGTGTCTTTGAGGAAGGAGTTTACGGTTTACCTAGGCGTCTTTGTGGAGACTGTGCACAGAAGAATGCCTTGTGGCTGTAGAGTTGTTTGTGACTGAGTCGTTTTTGTTTTGTTTTGTTTTGCTAACCTAGATGCCAGTAGAAGAGCAGTGATGCCATTCTGGTGGTTTTGAGGAGTATGTGTGGTTGGCCTAGGCGTCTTCATGAAGACTGAGCGTGGAAAGCCTTGTGGCTAGAGAGAGTGTGTGGTTTTTTGGTTGGGCCATATGTGGAGAAATCTGGAATCAGGTTAGCTGATTGTTCTACGTGTTTTCCGGGATTAAGGTGGACTTACTGTTTTTGCTTGATGTTGAGGATGATCCGTCGAGGTCAAGGATGTTCGTCGTTCTTGAGGCTAGACTTCTGGGGAAGAATCTGAAATCATGTTAGTTGGATGTCTTTGAAATGTATGGTATATCATTCTTACTGTTTGTGCCATGCTGACGAGTTTTTATATGCGTTGACCTTCGAGGCATGCACTGGCATGGAATTTGTCGGACGTATTGTTCAACCGAATTCTTGAGATTCTGGGGTCAAGTTAGTTGATGATTCCAGAGGATTCAGAAAATGGGACGTACGTTTTCCAGCCGTGTTGTGATCTTTTAGAATTGGGCATTTCCGAAGCAAGTAGGTTGTTTTGTTTGAAGAGGTCAGATTACCTATCGCTAAAGCGAAAGTCGAGTCTGGTAATCACAGCAAACTTATGCTTATGCGGCAATTGCAACACGAGAAGCATAGGAGATGTTGGAAGTTGCGTTCGGGATACAATGAGTATGCGGAACGACTGGTTTTGAAGTGGGAAGCCCAGGGAAGTTGAGCTCAGTGACCTTGAGTAGTTTTTGGTCCCTTCGCTCCAAGTTTCTGAAGCGACCCATAGCTTTTTCTGGAAGGGGCTCCGTTGAGATTGCTCTGAAAGCATCTGCTTGCCAATCTTGGAGGCTGCTCTTTCCGGGATTGTTGATGGCCAGGAGGAGGAGAGCACGGAGTGTGAAATTGGCATCGTTGGAGGCATTGTGGAGTCGCGAAAAGATACATCCGACGTCGACAAGGATGTCTTTGAGCTTTGTAATGCGGCCAGTCAACTCTCGGAAGATGGTGCAAGTGTCAAGAGTACCCATAATTGCTGTGGGACCCAGATTGATTCCTGTTTGATGGTTAGTCTTTGGGCCAATATGGAACATATTGTATCTCAAAAATATGGAGAACTTACTCAGTTTTCTGAGAGCCGCAATGTCACCGGAGATTCCGTGTCCGACCAGGACGATTTTGCGGTCCCGAGGGAGAAATTGTTTGATTTTGTTGCCCATTTCGGAGTGATATATGTGCTGAGATTTGCCCCAGTTTGTGGTACGTTCAACTTTCTCGAAGTATGCACGCTCTCCCGTTACGTAATGGAAGGTGTCAATTGCTAGACCTCCTTTAGGCAGGGGCTGAGAGAGCTTGTTTGTGTCCAGGATGGACAAACCCACTTGAGTGTTGATAGAAGGCTTGAATCCTTTACAGATGAACTGATGGCCCTCAAAGTCAATGGAGACGAAGAGAGGCTTATGATGAGAGAGGAGAAGGGCATGGAGCCGATCGAGTTCAGGAGTTGGACGGGTAGACATCTTGAAGAATAATAGTATAGTAGTATACAATTATAGATGTGTAAGATGGTAAAGTAATATGGAAAATTTCAAGGTATGTACCAGAGAAGTTTGATCGATATCACTGAAGAAGAAAGCATTTTCAGGGAGAGTGTAAACAGATATATACCGTCCTATGAAGCTAAAATCCCTGGAATAGTCATGTAACTATACCAAGTTTACATATTTGATAAGTTTAGTATCGCAGAGAATACAAAGCTAGGAAAATTAAAAGTTGTTGAGGTCCAAGAATGGATCTCGCTTAGCGTAGAGGGGCAAGCCAGCTTAAGTAGAATAAAGACGAACAATTGCAAGTGAACTCAGTAGTATACAAATAGAACGGTTTTGAGAAATCTAGCAGGTTTTGATGAGTTGTGCCTAGTGAGCTACTCGATAAGAGTATCGTGCTGAGAAGCTCGCCGCAAGGGATCCTCCCTGAGAACCCTAGGCGAATCGCATATCATTTTGACCGTCTAGAAAGCTTCCTCAACATCTGAATCTTCATGAAAAAGAACAAAGACCAACAACGGCTTTTCAAATAGATTAGAGAAACCCAAACAAGGTAAACATTCTTTGAAGTGAAGGTGTGAGCGTGTACTTCGTTGGCCAACAACTAAAAACCCAACCGATACTTTGGTTTAGAAACTCTTAGTGGCCGTTATCTGCCTCAGCGAAGACTTGTATAGTTAGTGCCTTGGGGATGCCTTTAACAACGTAGCAAACGTTTTCCGTCAACGACCGTGGATTAGAAACTTGCTCGGCACGCCTTAGTTCCTCAGCGACCGTTTTCTGTCGCAGCAGTTTTACTAACGCTTAGTCCTGGTGAGAGTCTATTAGAGACCGTTTTCCATCTCAGCAGCCGTTTCCTTCAACGGTTGCGGATTAGAAATTTGCTCGGCGCCCCTTAGTTACTTAGCGACCGTTTTCTATCGCAGCAGTCGTAGCAACGCTTAATCCTGGTGAGAGTCCTTTAGCAGCCGTTTTCTATACTGTAGCACGAAAACGTGTTTAGTCCCGAGGACCTTTTAACATGAGCCAGCGGACAAGTCCCGTTCTATTGAATCTATGGAATGGATCTTTGATAAAACTTGAGTATCTTTTCTCATGTATATATACCAATCTCTTATAGAGGGAGAAGCTCCAATCACCTTTGATCAGTTCCATCTTTTCTGCATTTCAAAATGCAATATCTAAGTATGATGTTTTGCAGACTTGATGGAGTAAGTTGGACTGGCGACTAATTACCATAAGTGCAACTCTAGCGCCTCAGTATGGACGTGACTATGGAACGACAGAAACGGCTGCTAATGAGATAGATCCTCAACCAAATTAAAGTAGTTTCTGGGGTAGACAGAAAACGGCTGCTACTAGAAACCTCAACCAAGCCAAGCTAATCTTTTTGGTACGTATGGCGGAAAACGGCTGCTAAAATGCGCTTAGTCGTCATCGCTCTGAACCACCGATAACTAGCTGGCGAAAATTTGAATAGTAAGATTTCAGGAAATTCAGGGAATCGTCGGATGGCGCATATGGAAGATTCTGTATACTTGAAAATGACGACGAGGTGCCTTTCGGAGTGTTCTGAGGCGTCACTTCGTTTCCACAGAGTCCTTGGGCAAAGACAAGAGGATATTGATTTCAAATCACGTGAACGAAAGTTCAAAAGAAAACAACCTTAAGGATGGCGTTATTTGCATATGACTTGCTATATTATTGGATAGTTATGACGCTTCAAGAACGGCTCGGTAGACTTGAAGTATAGTCTAAAATAGGACGTGGTTGGTCACGTGGGAATGACTCTACGTAGGTGAGGTCATATGGGTAGGTAAGAACGAACGCACAGAACGAAATCAACCGTTCTTCACAGGTATTGTTCACAAAATGGGCGGTTAATAATCGTACAAAATATGAGAGAGCGAGTGCTTGGTTTTTGAAATTCCATGATATTTAGTTGTAAGTATCTGAAAAACAACCAACAGTAAATAGACAAACACGATTTGTGCGAAAGAACAAGCCGCACGAGACTGCCACAATAAAAAAATTCATCAAAATACAGAGAACAGTCCCTCTAGCATTGAAATGCGCCAATAACTCCGGCGGGTCCATGTCCAACTCGAGACTCTGAAGGAAGCCATTAGAAAACAGTACGAAATTCGTAAAGTGGTGGGAGAACAGGATGTAGATTGTGGGGTCTAGAGCTATGCAAGGTATACATGGGATTCTATGAGTGATGGTGGTCCAGAATCATGTGTAGTGGAATCCGTCATCCACTCCACTTACTTAAGACCAAAAGCAGATTGGGCTTGGTTGTAGTACTTGGTTCGATCCGCATCAACCTCGACACCAACACAGGCAGAATAGGCCTTCAGGCCAGCATCTCCACCAGCTTGAATCGCTGGACGAGATGAGGCACATTTGGTTGTCAGAAACCAAGCTGCAGATCCCCAGCTGTACTCGTCAGGAAGGACGAGAGCACGAATAGCGTTTAGCTGATCAGGACTCATTCCTGCAGTCGTATCCGCGGTCGTGATCTTTGCCAAAGGCTCCTTCAAGGCCGGAATGGACTTTGCGTAGGCCAGGTTGAAGTCAGGCATTTGCATGTTTCGTGTTCCTTGACCTGGACGACCAGGTTCGGGGAAATGATTTGTATTGTACTGAAACTCACCACTCTCAAGAGCGATCAAGGCAAGAACAGCAGCGATTTCGTTGGGAACGGTGATCTGGTAATCTGCCATGGCTTTGATGAGGAATGGTGCTGCTTCTGCGGCAGTTCTGCATTCGTCCTTAAAGGAGGCTCCATCGCAGGATTTGGACTTTGGTGCGATTTGCAAAAGCTGATCCACCGCTTGCGCGCCAGCAGCACGACTCTTGAGGTAGGAAGCACTGAATACGTGTCTGGGAGGGTTCTTGGGGATAGCGCTTGCGCCAACCAAGGAGCCCAAAAGAGCGAGTGTGATAACGTTGAGAAGCATGGGTGGAATGTTTTAGTGGTATACTGTACAGGGTACAAGAATTTTGTTGTAAAATTGTGAGGTTTTGCGGTAGATTCTCTGGTGTACGGTAGTAATATGGTTTGATGGAACTTGAGCGCAGGAAGGAGAATGACGGGGCGATATATAGTCACTTAATGACAAAGGTATTATTTGGAGTCAATGAATGAAAAACTTCCCTGTTGCAAACAATAGGTGGTGAGTCTTATGTAACTTTTCACAAAGAATGAATAAAGGATGTGAATTTCAACAATGAACAAGGACTTTGTGAATAATGAATGAATAGTTTTCCAGCTGGTCAGCAGCAAGATGGAGGAAAATTGAAATAATCGAATGCAAGAAAGGAACGTGTGCTTTGCTATAAAGAGTGAGTGAGCAGGCTGTGATTCAACCACTTGGGTGAGGGGGAGCAGCGCATTTGAGTCAGATCTTAGATCGGCTCTTCTCTGCGAATCATCACAGCAGACCTAACGGGATTGGGTCGCTCGACCCCTTTTGCTGACTTTTCATTGATGGTGTCGGTGACAGATGATGGAACTGTAAAGTTAGGACGAACTGACCCAATCGCGGGGGTGGGATGTGCGGGATGAGAACCATCTTCGATTGAAACTGCCCAGGAGTAACAGTGGGGAGGTGCTACTCAGCCAATGTTGTCGACTCCTTCGTTTGTTGGAGTTGAGGCGAAGAGCTTTTGTTTCACGTCAACTATTTAAAGATGCGATGATTCGCTGAGTGCAGTGGCGTTTGTGAAACAAAAGGGGGGCTCGGTGCCACCAAGCTTGATTAGGTAGTCATTAGCTCCAGCAACACTCCCACTCTCCTGGGCACAGTCATTGCAACCTCTGCGTAATTAATTGCTCACGTTGGAAAACCCCAAATTATACACTAATTCGATAACTAAAGCTTTATGTAAAACTCGACCAACTCCGAGATCTACAGGAAATTCATGCATCTCTTTGTTTCTCGGAGAAACTTTCTCCTCTTAGTATTCTCCACAAAATTCCAGGATACGACTATTAATAGATCGAACAAGACCTCCAAGATCAAATGCCGGTACCAGTTGGCCTTAGAGTATAGAAATAAGTCTTGGTATGTTGTTTTGTGATTTTCTAATAAACTAATTGGTCGAAAAATTATTACATAATCACAAAACAGCAAAACTCCATCACTCTACAAGGATTAATTTTTATATACTCTAGAACCAACTAGTACTTCAATTTCCAAACCCTCTCAATCTTGGGGAATCATATAATGTATTCCAGCCGACGAAATAAACAGTCAGATACCCACAGAAAAAACATCTCGTCGCGGCAAGTGGTCTCCAAATTGGCTTCAAAGACTCACTGTCAGACTTTCAATATAATTACTGACTTGAAGAAGTTTCAAATACTGGGTTGCGTTTGGGTCTTTGGCCCAAATGCGTCATGGTGCACTTCCTGTGACCGATTGTATATACCTCGGATAGGATCGGGAATCCTCCGAGGGACATTTACCTCCCCATGGTAGGCACGTTATGAATCCCGACAGACATCACTCTAGATTGACTTGTAGCAGAAAAATAGCCATATACGCGGAGATTTTCATTCTGAAATTCTTATGTACCTGGAGCTAGTGCTCGAAAATATGATGACAACCATTCGGAGGCGGGGTTAGGAGGGATCAAACTTTTTTATCTCAAATATTCCTCTTTACGCAGGTCGGCAGCTATATATTCATGCGTCTCCCAATCCCTACCGTAGTCTACCGCAGTCACTTGGACCTTGTTGCCATATTTTTAAGCAAATATTCAATCAAGATTACCTGCAACCCAGTTTCCAATTGTAATTTGTGATAATCGACCTATGTAATCACTAAGGACCAAAGAAGACATTTCGAAGCTATGCATATTCAGAAAAGTTAGGCAGATAATCTGAACAGGCAGATACTAAAACTCGCATATGAGATTAGGAAAATTATTACGTACGGTGCATCCAAGCGCTTGCCCCCTCTCCCTTGGACTGTTACACTAACCGCCCACCCGAACTCACCACCGCGAAAATTAGACATACCGATGGTGCGGTCATTTGAACAACCACAAAAGTCAGAGTAGAATAAGAGGTATTGAGTAAGAACAGTAGTTGTATATATTGCAGATAAAAGATAGAATTAAATAAAAGTAAATACATAGTTCATTGCCACGTGAATTCATCAATCCACAAATCGTGACATAACCATAAAATGAAATGAAGAAGAGGTATGCCATGTACAAGGCAGCATCATCCAAGGAAAAAGTGACAGACGTATAGCCCCCATCCCACTCCCCCACATTAATATACAGCTTTCTTTCTGGCCCAAAATTCCCAGCCGCCTCCATCCCTATTCCACGCAAGTAAGAAGAAACCCCCAAAATACAAACGAGACAACCACCCATCCATCAAACTCCAATCCTTCCCCCTTTTAATTCCGAACCCGGCAAACCAAAAACCCGAAAACCAAGAAATTATTGTCTATTCTTTAGTTCAGAGGCTTTCTTGCCCACCCACTAACAGTTCTCCACCCAGCACCACAGGCACGTCCCTCCTCAATGATATCTTGCACACCATCGATCTTTGCCTCACTTCCCAAAGTCTGTAACTTGCATCTCAAGAGCCACTTCTCCCAAGCCCATGCACCAACAATACCGCACATACTTGCCGCGCTCTCAGTGTTGCCTGAAATCATTGCCTCCAATTCAAGTTTGACCTCGACTCCCATGCTATCGCGATTCTGGATTTCCTCGAGCTTGGCACCTATTGGAAGGAAAGACCAGGCACGCTTGACGCCAACGAAACCAGCCTTATTGAGTCGGTTGAGGAAGAGTTTGGTGGGTTGAGGATCATAACCCAGGGTGTTGAGGTTAAATCCAAACTCGACGCTCTTTGCGAGACCCAGTGGGCCAGCATTGACGATGTCGGAATCCATGATGGAGAACTCGAGATATCCACCTGGTTTGAGAACACGCATGCACTCCTTGAGACACGCATCCCACTCATCTTGCCCGTTCTCACCGTTCTGCTTCAAGATACTGTAAATCTCGCGAGCAGAGATGAGATCAAATTGGTTGTCATTGAATGGTAGCTTGACCAGGCGGTCGATGGCAATCTGGCGATGGTTCTTTGGACCACGAATGTTGGAGTTGGAAAGTTGTCGAAGAGCCTTGGTAGTGACGGTATACACCTTGGTTTTTGTGTATTCGGAAGCGCAATGCCATGCCCAGTCGCAAGTAGCTTGTCCACCAAGATCCAAAATTCTGGCACGGTCTCTTGGGGTGCCATCCAGCTTTGGTCCCATTGAAGAAAGTCTAGCGAGACGCTTAGCGACGGGTGCAGCGATTAAGCGACCTCCATTAAGAAGCTTCATTGCCATAACGTTCCAAGTGGCAGGTGCCATTTGGACAAAAGCCTCTGCTTCTCTGTCTCGCTTGAGCTTCTCTGGGTCCTCAGGGGCAATTTCGTCTCCACGGGCAACGTTGGCGGACATGCGGCGCTTTGGGCTCGAGGGTACCACACTCAATTGGTACTTTCCGAGGAGTTGAGCTCGGTGGGAAGCTGGAAAAACGACACGCTGAGCCTGCATAGCCTCGAATCGCGGGATGCGGTGCGTGAACGTGTCACCGTAACGGGAGCGAGTGACAAAGCCTTGGAACGCACGATAGTACGCTGATTCTTGCTGGTCAGCTTTTGGCAAAGGGCACGCGATTACGGTCGATATTGGGATCTCGGAAAAACGGACCGTTTTGCGGGGTGGAGATGGAGCTTCGTCAAGGACTTCGACAGCCGCCTCTCTCTGGCTCTTAATACTGACATTACGTTGGAGCAGTGCAGCTTCATCATCACGCTTCTCAGTGGGATTGATTAATTCCGCAAGATACGAGCTTTGAGCGGCCAACCACATTCCAGTGCGGTCGATGTTTTCAACAGGAATCTCCTCGAGCTTCAAAGGCTTGCTGATCATCTCGTCGGCGACAATTTCTTCCTCGATAATTGGCACGGCGGTCTTAACGGTCTCATCAGACCTTTGTTGAGGCAGGATTGGTCGTGCTGTTGAGAGACCCTCCGACATACAATCCGACGTCTCGGAAACCTCCAAGATTTGCTCGACTGGAGCAGAAGACGACCATGGCGTCTTGTAAAAGTGCTCGGCGGTGGTAGAGGATGGGGGTGCAGCCGACTCGGGTGTGCAAGGAACGAGGTGCCATGTGTGTCTGGCGCTGTGGGAGAGAGTAGAGAAAAACCCACCAGGGGATGGAATCTCGAGCTTAGTAAGACTAGCAAGAGATCGCTGCCCCTCTGGAGAGAGAACGACAGAGTTGTTTCGGTGGATATTGGTAGTAAGTGGTGGGAGCGTTTGTTGCATCTCTCGAATAGGTGCAGTTGCAGATCGGGCCAATTCAATAACCTGCTCAGGTTGATGCTGTTCATACTGATCACCAGAAAGGGCTTGCAAAGTTGCCATGGCTTCGGGCTGAAGTTGGACACCATTGCCCCATTGATCCTCATCGTCTCCATTGACACTTCCAAGTTCCGGCGTTGGCGGGACAGACATTGCCGCCAGCTGATCGGAGCTAAGACTGCCATCCAAAGATGGTGGTGCAGATGAAGAAGGAACTTCCTGTGATTGCAAGTATGAAAATAGTGCCGGGGACATGGGCACTTTAGGTGGCGGGGTTGGAGGAATGGGAGATGTCAGCTTTTTGAAAGCCTCGACACCTGGCCATGGGTCACCTTGTGAGGGAATGGCGAGGAGTGGAAGGGAGTTACGGGATGTTTTGCTTGTGATGGAATCAACCGAGGAGCGGTTTGCTCTGGTGTTTTGGCGAATCGCACTTCTCCTCCGTACCGACGACTTCCTCCTGGAGTCCTCATCGGACGAGACATCGTAGAGGTCATCAAAGTCAGTGGCATCAGTGGTAAAACTTGTCCGGGTCCATGGTGCTGAGGAGGGTGTGGGTGAGATACTGCTCTCACTATCGGATGCGTCTGTGGATTCTGGGATATGTGCCGACATAAAGTGGTTGCCGCGGGGTGTAGGGAAGTCGCTTAGAGGGGAGAGCCATTGTGCTGTCTGCGACGCCTTGTATCCTTGACTCCTTCGGCTCTCCATCAACATTGACTTTCGTGACTCTTCATCGTCTTCCATTATTGTATTAAGTGTTTTGTTTGTTTTGCGAGCCTGCGCAGAGGACGGAGGCGAATATGTAATCGCAGGTAATAGATCTAAAGTAGCCATTTTTGTAGCTGCAAAAAAATGTGTTGTATAAATAGGTGTTGGTCGGCCTGGGGTGAGTGAGGCGAACAAATATAAAATCCCGGTCCACGGAGAATGTATGTAAGACTACCAGATTTGGACACGGTGCGCCAGGAATAATATTAAAAGACTGAATGCTTCGATCTACGAAGACTTGGGAAAACAGAAAAGCGAGAAACCGAAGAGCAAGGACGAACAAACAAAGTAAAAAAGTCACGAAGAGATGTCTCTACCTAATTGTTGGGTCCCGGGTTGTTTATACAACCCAGTGGCACTCGCCCTGTCTCTCTGCAAATTCCACAGCGTCAAGAGGACGTACATGGGCGCCAAAGCCTGACTTGGAGTTCGATGTCTCGCCCTGATTCGGCAGAGGGATCAGGACGAAGAGGGGTTGTGGAGGTGGTAGACGCGCCCACTACAGTTGTCCGTAGAAAGATGCAACGACGGCGAACGATGATGGCCCGTTTAGTGATGGGTCATGTACGATAAAAGCCCTCCCACGAACCACAGGCGCAGACACAATTGCATAGCCAAAATTAGGAAGCGGGGGGCATGGAAGAGGTGTGGGTGGCGCGCGCGAGGTGAAAGACGTTTCTCTTTCTGATTGGTGCTGTACTGCATTGAAGATATATGGGTCGGCCTGTGGTGTACAAATGTGACAAATGGGAAGCGAGGCGACACCCCCATCGCAAGCAGCTCCGCAGGACGGGCGCTTAAAATCACTCACATCACCATCCACTATCACCACTATCACCCACTCGGGTTTGACTGCATCCCCCTCTGTTCCGTGCCACTGGCTGGGAAACAGCCATGAAATTCCATCCCTCGGCCATTACGAGCAGTTGACAAGCCTCAATTCTCTCGATGGATAAAGGAGTTCATCCGCTATTGGCAAGTCTGGCCGCTGTTCCTGGCGATGACGATGACCAATCTGTCCGAAAATAGATTGCGCGCTATTCTCGAAAGATTAATATCAACACTATAAAGGAGATGGAAAGATAAAGTGGCTTGTTTGATCCGCGATGCGAAGATGGTTGTTGAAGAAGATGGGAAAGATGGGTTGAAAGGAATGAGGGGCTGCCCATCTTCAAAATGCTTGGCGAGGTTTGACGAGTCACGTGTAAATAATACTCTGCTCCCTGAATCGGTTCTTACTGGTTTGTTCTTCAGCAGTACTCCGTAGTACTCGAGTGTCACCTGGAGGATTGTTGAAGATTTCTGCGACCTTGGGCTAACCAAGCTGCGACCTCATTTTTCTCATGACGTGGAAATGTCTTTCGTACTGGAGCGCTTCACGTCCGTAGTACTTGCGCTTGCAACTATGTAAAGTTTTGTTAGAGCGCTAATCTTAATATTTTATGAAAGTAGTAAGTCATCATTCACCACATTTGCCTTGTTCTAGTTTTCTGAAGGAGTAGCTTGATTGAAATCGAAATTACACAACAATCGCTTATGGCATCTAGACCAAAAGAATGTGTCTTACTGCAAAATTGAATCTTTGCCCGTCGATCAGCTGGTTCGCTCACGTATTCATCAGTAATCAAATCTTTTCCAATACCGTGGATCCTCTTCTAGTCCGTCATATGTTTGGGCTTACTTTGAATCCTTATCCTTCATCAGCTGACATTCTTCGCCGGAAAAGAAAATAGAATCAGACTTTTATGATCATTAGACTTATTTTAATATTTATGGTGTTTCTCCCGCTCTCATTCTATCCTCTGGTGTTATGGAAATCAGAATTTTGAAAGATATTGGGTGTTCCACAGTAAACGAGGAATGAAACGTGACGTGGCTGTTGTTCAAGTGAAACTCAAAATTTGTATCGCATTGCTCAAAGCCGCTCGAGACCATGTATTCTGCCAAGTACTGCTCAGAAGCGTTGACATACATAGTATAATGTAAGTGCAATGCTCCTGAATCAGAAATTAGCGAGGTCGATCAGGTGACCAAAACGTGATCGAGGGCCGTTCCTAGGTACCATGGGAGTGTTCCATCTCCTCCCCATAGAACAGCTCATGTTTCCCTGTTAACCTATATGTATCTTCGATCTAGCCTCGAGTATGTTCGAAAACATGATCTTCTTCGTCGTACTTTACTGAACAGTGTTTGCTTTCTTTTGAATGGGCTTAGACTGCACATAGCCACATGTAGAATCCCACAGCAGAGGCAGTGCCACTAAGATTCGAATCATTTTATATATCACATTACCACCTCACGCCATCGGTTCTCAACCTTAGACTTCAAATCAGCCCTAGACTGGTTCTCGCACCTTCGTATGCGGCTAGAATCATGCTTGAAGCTGTTGCAGCCGTCGGCCTGGCGGGCAATGTGGTTCAACTTGTTCAATTCTCGTTTGATCTAATCAACAAAGTAGTGGAGATACGCAGAGGCGGAAAATCTCCTCCACTTCTTGAACCCAAGCACATCGTGACCTTATCAATACAACAAATCAAAGCAACCAAAATCCAATTCACATGCTGCGCTGGACGAAAACATTCGCTTGATGATAAGGTTCGTTCAAACTTGTAAACATAGTAACAATACTTATGGGACAAGGCTGTTCTAGATCTCGTTCGCGACTGCGAGACTGCAGGCAATGAGTTACAAAATTATGTCGATGCTCTCCTTAAAATGCCCCAGCACCCCCCCTGGAGGCAGAGTACTCGCCAAGCAGTGCTGCCAATGGTTAGTTAACCATTAATTTTAGGGCATAACCGTACCAAACCAATAAGCCAGAGCCTATAACCATACTATACCGTCGTAAATGGTGGTTAACCAGTAGTAAAGTGGTTACCAATAGTATACTGGTAACCGTAAGTGTTAAAGAGTTATAAATTAAAAAAGAAGCTTAGTAGTTAGTGCGTCTTCCTACAGCGCCACTAGGCGCTATCGCCTATATAGAATAGTATCAAACCTATCACGTGTATAATGACTAAGCATAATACTATAACTATTAAGGAACTATTAGTTAACTAGTAATAATATAAATCTATAACTATACCGTTCCTTTAGTATGGTATGCCAAAGAATTTATACTACGAGTATACCATCCAATAAGCTATTGGTATGGTAACCAACTAATAATAACCGTCCATTGGCAGCACTGTCGCCAAGCCATCAAAATTCAATTTAATCAACAAAAGCTCGATAAATTTGTAGAGCAAATCAAGTCTCTACGCCAAACTCTGTCTTTACAGGTCTGTCTGGCCTTACAGGAAATTGTCGATAAAAACAACATAACCACGAATGTGAAGCTCGACTCTCTCCAAAGAGATGTGCAGTCCATCGTTCTCCAACTCTAAGATCATCCCGCTTTCGATGATCAACGTCTTTCGCATGTAGTGAGAAGATATCCGCAGTCAATTTGGAAAAATCAAAGGCGGGATCCTGCCCAGAAAGAAGAGGCGATCTTAAGAATGCTTCGGTTTCGGCAAATGACAGACCGCTTTGAAGAGATATCACCTGCCCACCGTAGTACATTCGACTGGATCTTTCAGCATGAAGAATGTTCATGGGATAGCTTCGCTGCATTTCTGAGCAGCAGCTTAGAGAAACCATACTGGACTTATGGCAAAATGGGTTCTGGAAAATCTACGCTCATAAAGTTCATTTCAGATCATCCAAATACCTTGCTGAAGGCATTGCTGGAATGGGCTGGAACAGAGGAACTCATCATAGCCCCGTTTTTCTTTTGGAATTTGGGTACCCCTCTGCAAAAGTCACACAAAGGATTACTACGCTCGCTTCTCCATGCTGTCTTGGGAAAACATCCGGGCTTGATCAAAGAGGCATTTCCTACAATCTGGAAGGACTGGAAAGACACAGATGTCGATTATGACTTCTCTCTCGTGGAACTAAAAGGGGCATTCTCAAAGCTTCTAGCAGCACCCTCAAATAGTCTGAAAATATGTCTTATAATCGGTAAGACACTTTTCCCGCATTTATTTTATTGTGTTCTCAAGAAATCCAAAATACTGCAAGACAGTTGGGCGAAACTCTGGACACACCTAGGTTAGAAAAGGATACTATTCTAAGAGTCTCGTATCATGAAGACGGTTCTCCGAGCCATTTAGGATAATTGAAATAAACATATCTCCATTAACCTAATTGAGTTAGGACAATTAAGGTAATTGTTCTAGGATTTCTAGTAGAATGTGGTTTTATATGTGTGTCCAGAGTTTCCCCCAACTGTCTCACCTTATTCGCCCCTCTAGAGATTTTCGCAACTACACGTTTTTTCTGCTGATTCCAAAGGGGTTTTTTAGACGGCATTGATGAATTTGAAGGCTGCCATGAAGATTTATCCATATTTTTAAAAGGGCTCTCTCTATCGCGGCTGAAACTGATCATCTCTAGCCGTCCAATACAATCATGCGTTTCTGTATTCGAGGGATGCCCAAAATTACGCCTACAAGATCTCACCAAAAATGACATCAATCTTTACATCCACGGCAATCTTGATACAGATCCCAATATGGCTCATCTTCAACGCAAATCCCCCCAGGATGCGCTGATATTGATCGAAGAGATCAAACAAAAAGCTGATGGCGTGTTTCTGTGGGTCAAGCTGACGCGTCGTCAGACTCTTGATACAAGAATTACGTGCTACCGATACAGTTTCTGACCTACAGCTGAGGCTTCATGCTCTGCCCGCCGAATTGAAGAGTCTTTGTGATCATGAACAGATACTCGGGAAGCTAGACAAGACACAGAAGAGACAAGCAGCCGAGATATTCCAGGTCTTTCGTACATGGGCTGATTCCCGACCAGAAGAACCACTAAGTACACTCACGCTTTCCTACGCAAATCAAGACTCCTGGTCTTGTATCCAAACAGAACCCGGGCCAATCGAAGGATTAGAAGCACTTCGAAGCTGCAAGCTTACTGCAATTCGGCTGACAAGCCGATGCTGCGGACTTTTTGGAAGTTCACGAGAAAACCGACGCTGAGAAGATTGATACTGAAGAAGTGGACGATCTCTTTTCAGACGAAGTCCATGGAAGCCGAGCCTTACAACAGGGTGCAATTAAGGGCTCGCATGATCTAACATCACAAGATTTACTCACCTTGGCATCGACAGTTAAGTATATCCACAAATCTGTCGCCGAGTTCCTATATACGGACAGCAACTGGGATCAAAAAAAGAAGATGACCGCTGAATCTTCATTGGAACCTACGCTGTGCTTAACCAATGCATGTTTATCTATGCTCAAAATTCGGGCTCCAACTCCCAGAAGTGAAGGATTAGCATGGTCATGCCTTGACAGATTCGTAGCATGCTGTCGGGTTACGAACAGAGGAAGTGACCGACTTCATTTGAACTTAGTCAATTCTCTCGACAAGACAATGTCATATTTGTGTTCTGGTGAATGCTCTCATTGGTCTTCGATGATATCTTACAGATACACAGGAAATTTAGAAGAAAGGAATGTCGGAGATCCAAAACTCAGCAATATTCTCATATTTGCAATTCGAAATGGTTTTCATCGATATGTCAATATACGGCTGAAGATGCAAGACACAAATTTTAGGATGTCATCTGAACTTCTTTTATCATCCGCTGTGGATAGCTGGTACAGCAGGAAAAGAAAGCCTCCCTTACAGAATCGGGTTGGGATCCTGCAAAAAGATTTCCAACATGCCTCAAAAATAACTTCTTCTGTCACATTACATTGTTATTGGGAGACAGCTATGGACATGGCATTGAGATTTCATACAAAAAACAGTATACTAGATACGGGAGAGCTTGTAAAGGTATTATTGTGGATCAAAAGCAACGAGCTAGACCTGCCTTTTCAGAATCAGGTATTGGCCCAATCCAGGAATGTCGCCGATCTCTCTTGCAGACTAGAGAACTACAGGGCACCTTGCGACAACGTCGGAGAAATAATACTTAGAATTGAGCAAGACAAAGAACTTGCTCGAGAACTAGCTTTTGAGTTACAGAGACTGTGGAGAAGAATTGTTTCTTCTATTAAGCAGAACCGATCTGCAATACAGCCCCCCATATACAACCAGTCTCTGTTGCCATTGGAAGATATGCAGTCCTGGCTACCACGATCCCATAACCACACGCCATACACTGATAACAGTCCTCATTATTTCAACCAAGCAACGGCGATCGACACTCTCTGTACAAAGACACGGGTTTCTTCTTGTCGAGACATGGGCTCGAAATTCTTTGCAAATCATGAATCGTTTGTCAGACCTAATGGACCATACCCGGAGTTTTCCCCATCCGTAAGTGTGAACTGTGTTCCAAATTCACACTACTTTGTTTCAAAAGTTACCCCCAAACCTTCAGAGCAGATGTTCAATTTTCCGCCATCTCCAGCCACGTCGTCACATTCTGTACCGTTAAACGATGTACTTGAAACAGGCTTGGAAGAGAAATTGAGAAATAATATGGCTTTGGGTTGAAATGGGTGCTCAATTCCTGTCTCTCTTCGCCCTGGAAATTTAAAATGTAAACCACTAGTAATTGGACAAGCTTTTTCATGTTTGTTAGGAATTTATATTCTTGTCTTCATTCAATGAACAACACGGCTTCATGGTATTTTCACGTGCCAAAAGGATTCTGCTTAGGAGGACTTGCATATTTACTTTCAGATAGTTATTCTCGCGCTAAAAGTAAATGCAAAAGTTCAAAATACTCCTCATTTTGGGCCGTTTGTTTAAACCTACAAGTTTAGGCTTAGCTGTCCAAAGTTACTAGAACTCCGTTCAGTTAAGATCAGGCTCAAAGCAGACCTTGGTGAATATACGAGAAGCTGTATCAAATGCGACGTGAGCCTTAAAACCCAAAGAACAGCAAAGATAAACTTCCATCATGACCTTCTATATTCTATTATATTTATTGGTAAATTCGAGTCCGAAAACGAATCTTTCGGGCTCTGCGATTCCAGCAACATTTCAGTAAATTAAAAACAAAACTCCCATTCGAAGCTAACAAGCCATCATTTTCTCACGAATCTGGCCTACCAGCTGCATTCAATATGTTTGTCCTATCAATACAACCTTCCGACTCATTCCATCGGGTAGGAAGTACAGAACGACCTGCGGCGACCTCCTAACCTTCCATTCAACCAATAAGGTATTTTCTAATCACACTCGTCTTGAACTGCTACCAACATACTTGAAGATTGCAGGCAGATTATGGTCCAATGTCATTTCACAACATACGCCAGGTTATTTGCGCACATGAGGTTTCAATTTGCAGCGGAGATGTTAACTAAATTGGCGGGGAAGAGTGGACGCATATTAAGTGGACAAGTGGAAATATCACTTTCCTTTTTGGTGACGAAAAATCGGAGTATTTATAACCCTCAAAGAAGTTGATGTTGGCTCCTTTTGGGTCTTGGAGGATAAGAAATTACCCGGTTCTGCATGCAATTTTATCGTTTCAGAACATTTTTTGCTGTTCGACTGAAAAGAGCCGCTCAATGGTCATAGGTCGTACGCGAGGTAGGAGGCTATTATGTGAGTATCCGATTGATTTGATTAGGCAGGTCATATAGTGGAGTCTAACTCACACCCAGGGTGTAGAGAATCGGAGGTCGACTCCCATCTTGGGATTGGAATTGTAGCTGTAATTAAAGTTTACCCATTTCTCAAAGGACGTACATACACGTTTGTTGCATTGATGGTCCTAAAAGTGGGTCAAGAATTATTAGTGGCTATTGTCATGTGCTGGTAGTCGCCTCGGTCGGTTCCCCTCTTCTTTCGCTTAGGCTCCCCCGCTCTCTTCCCTTCTAAGCAAGTCGAAAAGAGGGGAACCACGGCTGCCAATACGTTGAGATTAAATTTCAACCAACTTGGAAAGTGTGACCGGCTAAGCTTTAATGCGGAGGTGAGAAATCAGGTCTCAAGATGCAGCTATAGAGTATCATTACTAGGTACTCAGGATGGCGGTACAATTAGTGTCTCTATAATAGACCTATATACCGAGTGACAAGGATCTCCGCATTTCGCAGTCTAAGCAACAATGAAGAAAGTGTAAGCCTAGTTAGGAAGGCCGGGCATAATCCAGCACTGCATGTACGCCAACTTTTAATCAACCACTTTTGCGTCTTTCCGCGGTGTTACTATGCTAAGGGGTACAGAGACGGTGGAATACCCAAGATAGGTAAAACCCGCCGTTTTCACAGCCAGCAAACACCAGCTTCAATAGTGTATAGAGAAATTAGAGTATCTCAAATCAGGAAATAAAGGATTGCCTTCGGTCGCCTAAAATGACTATTCTGTCAAGTCGCGGCGATCATAACTCTCCACTGTTTTCTGTAACGGTTGTCTTCAGAGAGTCTTCTACTACTACTACCTATCGCGTATATTCGAGGGAACAATACACTTCGGTATGCATTTCCTCGCTATTGCCACAATCTTCTTGCTATCGGTGGTGAGCGGTATTTTCGGAGTGGCATCACCTGGATGTGGAAAGGCAGCGGCTTTGACCAATGGCAACCATACGATAAACGTCAATGGCAAAACGCGCGCTTATATTCTCCGCTTGCCAACAAACTATAATATCAACAAGCAATACCGCCTCATTTTTGAGTTCCACTGGGCCCACGGTAGTGCTGGCCAAATCGTCCAAGGAGGATACGCACCATCCTACTATGGCCTTCCTCCACTTGATACGGCCCAAAACGCCATCTACGTCGTGCCAGAAGGCCTCTATGAAGGATTCGGCGAGTCAAACGGACCCTACCAGGGTTGGGCAAATACGGGCGGGCAGGACGTAGCTTTCACTGATGCCATGCTTACTACCTTTCAAAATGGACTTTGCATCGATCAGAATCTTATCTTCTCCATGGGCCACAGCTATGGCGCAGGCATGTCGTACGCTCTTGCGTGTTCGCGTGCTAATATCTTCCGCGCCGTGGCCATCAACTCCGGAGCCTTGATCAGTGGCTGTTCGGGCGGAACGTCCCCAATTGCTATGTACATCCAGCACGGCTTGAGGGACACGACCCTACCCATATCGGCAGGAAGATCAATTCGAGACCAGTTTGTGAAGAATAACGGCTGCACTACTCGCTCTGAGACACAACCTCCATCAGGTCGCCACACGAACATCGCATATAGTGGTTGCCAATCTAGATATCCCCTCACCTGGGTCCCTTTTGACGGTGGACATGTTCCGGCACCGACTGATCAGGGCTCTTCCACTTCCTTTACTCCAAGAAACAATTACGATTTTTTCAATCAATTCACTTGAATGGGGCAGGGTAAATTTTCCAATGTCACCCGTTCTCTGTTCGGAAAAGGACAGGGTAGTGATGCTGTATACGCAGGGAATTCGGTCTGTTTTGGTGTGTTTTTCATGTTGCCTTGGGACAGTCATTATCATGTGGATACAGATGGAGAGAATGTTTCGCGTGGCCCAGTGTATATAGCCTTCGATTCTTGATACTTTGCAATAATTAAAACTGTTTCCATCTGTTATCACTCCTTTTATTTGCCTATATCGCTATTTTCTTAGCAGTCTTCTACTTGTGAGATTACTGAGCCAGACCTGCCTTTTGATATCTAGGTATTTGCCTGGTTGAGGGATGTTGCGTCTCTCTCTAGTAGACTAAGACCCGACCACCCCTACCTTTATACTACCAAGCATTTTCAAAGGCACATGACATTGTTTCTTGCAAAGCCCATTCATACATTCTATACTGTCTTAAAACTTAGCAAGACGTTCGCTTGCTCTTCGGCAGGATAGAGTCAGCGGAAGACACCAGGCATCTTCCGATTATTTTAGAGATTTAGTGCCTGCAAAGAATGCACTTTCAATCAAAGAAGCCAAAGGAATTGTTCGTGATCTACCTTTTGAGTTGGAAAGAGTGGATGACATTTGTCATTTATATCAGGACTTGAGTAGACGTGCTTACTTGATACCTTAAACCTCTACGTAAACCCAGCCTCTATCACTGCCATATTTTGGACAAGAGTCGTCTACTGGACAATGAGGACCTCCTCAGCAACCTCGATGTTTCCATCCAGCCCAAGATATGGACTGGATTTCTAGTTCTCTGGTAATCGTGTAGAAACTAGACACGATGCGCGCGTCGTGTTTGTTCCTCTCGCGTAACCCCAGCCCCACAAAAGCCGCAAAACAAAATGAAAATAATAGCAACGAAAGCACTTCACCCCCACCGCATCCTTTTGCCGTTATTATTCCGACTCTCCCAAGCTCGTCGCTTATACCAAACGCCGCAATACGATTCGTCGCACAAAAGAAATACCCGCATTTTAAGCGACAAATCTTCATATCCCTAAACAAGCCATCCACTGCCACCAAAACTGGGATTAAACCTGTCCGCCTGGCCCAGTCAATTAGTGTGTGTTCACACAAGCGCCAACTTCCAAAGTACCAACACTTCTAACTGTTTCGTGTACGATGAGAAAAAGAGGAAAGTAGAGTGCGCGCCGCTACAGGCCCACCGGGATAGATTTGCTAAGCTAAATGAAAAACTTAGTACGTCTGGTTTTCGACCTGGCCGCCGAATGGTGATGGTTTTTTTGCCATTTTTTCTGTTGCTTGTCTTTCTTCTTCTTTTTGGTGGTGGATGTATGCGGTGGCGTACTGTATTGAGAAGCCGGCTATTGTTGGTATACGTGAGATAGTCTTTGGACAGCTAATTCAGTACGAGTGAATAGAGTCGCAATGTCGACGAATGTTGCGGTTTTTTCGGCATGAAAGTTCAACTCTAAGCAGCGGCTCTATGGGAAAATTCTAAGTAGTCTGCTAAAAATACGTGGGCTGTTTATCCAGCACTCACGTCTAAATTTGCCCATACTAGGTATCTTTCTCTACGCCATGATTCAAGAGAAGGAAGACCAGCTCGATTGAAATGCTTTATTTTACGTCTGTAAGCTGCTTTCACTGAACGGCACCGTATAATGTTAAGTTGACTTACTTGCTCCTGGCTTATATATTTGTATCTAAGCAACAGTTGCAAAAATTCTTAGGTAGTTGGGCCTGTTCTAGAATACGCTCTGCTGGATATCTTCTTTCGTATCCTATAATATGCTATGGAAAATATAATCTTTATCGTTACTGTAAGAGGTATCGGTTATATACAGAGTGTATATAAGACAGTGGAAGTAGGATGGTCAGATGACTGTTAGGTACATCGGGAATCAAAAGAGTAAGAATTTGACTTGTGCAAATGACTTGATTTTTCTAACTATAAGGACAGTAAAGGTCTATATATACTTCTTAGATAGATTCTAGGAGGTTCTATAGATTATAAATAGAATAGAAGGGCTTATAAATAGATAGGGATACTAGAATGTTTCGGTTCACGTGATCGAACGTTCTAGAATAAGCGAGAACAGACTAAGGTTTAAACCTAAAGTCTATTAGTAAGTAAGGTAATTATTACCTAAATGAAACAGTTACGAAGGAGACTATCGTTATACGCGGCATTTACCAAGGCATCCATGTACGTATTCAACATTGGCAGCCCTTTAATACATAGAATATCCCCTGGTGTCATAGCAATGCCTATCAATTACTATGGAACGAAGAACTGGGTCGGGAAGATTCTTAAACGTGGATTTACACCCAGATCAATTAGTGACTGTGAGGGTTGGAACCCATGATGGAGGCTCGGGCCATGCCCTCGCTAAGCACTGACCAAAGTCCCCGCTCAGCATTGGCCATTGCTCCACTGCTAAATTGGTTTCTCCTTTTCTACACTTTTCTACTCTATTCTTTTGACGTCACGTATTTGTCAAACAGTTTCTTGGAAGACTCCAGAAACTCTTCCTCTCTCTATATATAGAGGAAGAGATTGCATGTATGTAGTCTTCACGCACTTCTTAATTGAATATTCGAAACCTCACCTTTGAGTTGTTCAAGGTCTGGCCTCTCACAGTGACTTCATTACCTCACTTCCCTCACCTTGGATAGCAACGTATAGTAGTAACATATCCTTCCTGTTTTAAGTCTATGCCTACTTAGTGTAACATAGCAGAATCGCCAGAATTGCTTGTAGTATCTAGTTGCGCGGGGTTCGAACACAAAATACTTAAATTCAAGCTTAATTACAAGCTTAATTAACTTTACAACTTCAAGGTATAGCCCTCTATTGTAAGCGTCCACTTTCTTTCCTACTCGTGAATATAGTTATTGTTTTAGTGGCGCACAGGAGACATATCCCCTTAACGTCGGATATGTACACTTAGAGGTGGATCGCCTTTATACCCACTTTAAGGATTAATCTCTGTAAACAAGCGTTGTTTTAAGTATAATCGTATCAAAAAGTCCAAACTAAACCTATCGCGAGAAACGTTAAAGAGTAAGAATATATAAGTACACCGTATGAAACCAATCAGAAACCCTACTATTACTTGAGTCTCTCTCTTCGTCTACATTATCCGAATCCCTTTCCTACTTATCCCTAGTTATATTAGTATTACCCATACCGCCGTAAATGTGATACTAATTAAAACCACGCTCGTATAAGGGTATTTTGTAAAATATACACTCTCGATCATCTTGTCACTTTAATACCTTTTGGACTATAGTGTTAAGGCTTGAGAGTACTTCGAAACCGACAAAAATAACACTGTCGTCCTACAGATTCCGACGATTACTCCCACGATTATTTTGGGGGGCTATTCTGGGGTATTTGTACACGGAAAGAGCAATCTCTAGTATATACGATAGATACTAATTTTACGTTACATAACCACCTCAATTGCAACAGTTACGAATCAATTACGAATCAATTACGAATCACTTCTTAATTCGCGTTCGAGAGTTAATTTAAGGACTTTATACGGAGTATAGACGTTGAAACAACCACAAGACCTGAGACTCCTTATCTCGCTAAGTGGGGGTAAAGTGGATATCGTAGAGTATCCACCTCCAAATGTACATATCCGACGTTGAGGGGATAGTAATAGAGTACGAATCAAAGATAGTAAGGTGGAATATAGATTAGATTGTCCGCAAGGAGAGAAGGAGGGAACTCCTCGCGATGGAATTACTTAACTATCTACAAGTACCCCTATTCACTGAACGTGAAGTTTATCACGTGCAAACCCATTCACTGTAAAAGTCAAAATCGAACCTTCACAGTAAGCTTACTTTGCTTGATGTAGTTGATAAACTTAATAGCTAGCATATATATAAATATTACTGCGCGTAGAATAGTAGTGATTCGAAGGTAAAACACTTAAAGGATCTTGTAATTAGACGAAAAGACTCTGTTTATATACATGTGGAATGCCTAGTAACACATGACCAGATATGAGCCCTTTACCCCTCTTGTGCCATATGCCAATACTCCCCTTCCCTCTCTATTCCCTATAAATGTTCCTTCTAAAGCCTACTCCGATCCAAGAAGCCGAAGGTGAAGGAAGGTGGACATTATTCCCATTTATTGGTATTCTCCTGCGCAGGTGCACTGAATGGCATCATCTGGATCATCAGTGCAATCGACCTTTGCAACCGCCTGTTGAAATGATTACGTCAGCGATAGGATCAATAAATATGGCATGAAACAGAGGAGAGAGAGAAAGAGCATAGGTAGAATAACTTACAGTTGAACATAGCTTTTCACAATGAGCATCAGCGCCAGGGCGATTGCATTGGGCTGCTATAGGGGCAGCTTAAAGGGCTAGCGTGAAGAGAATAGCAAAGAGCTTCATGATGAATGTATGTTGGGATGTAGAAAGTAAAGTTGGATTGAAATTTGATTGAAGAATGAAGTGATACCGATCGACGGGTTGATGAATTGATTGATTATCGATCGAAAGAAGGCCTTCTATCGACAGTCTTATATAGGCAGAATATTCCAAGCTTTGAAATACAAGTAAGAGGGGTTGTAATTTATCCCATAGAAAAAGGCCTTTTTTCTATGTGTGATCTACGCGCCGAGCGTGCAGTCAATGAGTAGCACTGGCCATGAGTAGGATCTCCGTCCAATTGCTTCGTTCAGGTAAAATCTCCGTTGTAATACAACATTCTAATAGGCTAGAAAGGACACATGGGAAAAAGGACCTTGTTTTAGAAACTGTTTTCCAAGACGATATTGAGTCGCAATACGTACGAAGTAGTATCGTCGAATGGGCCAATGGCATCTTATGAATACCTATGTGCCCGGGGCATCCGCCCACGCGGGTGTACCGCCTACCATTTAGCTAGTATAATTTATTATAACAACCATACCTTAAAAGATATTATTATATAGCTCAAATTGTAGCTTACTTGCGCCTCTATACTTCCTTTTAGTTGCTTTTCTATTTTAGGTAATACTAAGGCTTAGTAATTTTTAATTTCTATATTTTAATAGAAGTAATCTAGAAAATTTTAACTTTTTGGGAGTAGGAGAAATTACTAATACTCTAAGCTATATTTTGATATTACTTTGAAGAATTTATGCTATATAGTTGTTTTTCCATTAACGTAGTCCACAAGCGAGTTGGATTCCCAAGCGAAATGGATTTTTTTCTTGGCATTTTATAAATTCTTAAATATCTCACGACACAATTGATTAAATTAATTACAGTATTCGGAATCGGAATCCTCACATATTTCTTCTCCTTTTTGACAAGTTCGTATGTTATGGCCATGTTTCCCACATAGTCCACAGCGCCGGCGAGGTACTAGACTCGGGCTCGTACAATTACTATTTTCTACTAAAACCACTTGTTCTTGCGAATCAACATTACTAAGGACCCCTAAATCTTGCGCATCTTGGAGAGTAAGTGATCCTCCTTCCTGTAATCGGCGCTTTTTCGTACGACGACGCCGACTAAGTTGATCATTTGCTGTACGAAGTGTAGCATTCTCAGCTCGTAATAAAGCTACCTCAGTGATTGCACGCTGTGCACCCTTTGCAAGCTGGTCTAGGCCATATAGAATCTGGGTCGGAGAACTATCTTGGTGTCGTACGACCTTGTTTTGTATATATGACGTCTGGGAATATGCCTCTGTTATGTTATTTGGGGTCTTTGGTTCCCAAATAGCTAGGAGGCTTGTTGAGGTAGATGGACGTGACGGAGTCCTTGGACGTATATCAAGCTGTGAAATCACAGAATCTGGGTCGTACGGCACTAAGCCAGATCCTCGAAATCCTCCTCGAATGTTTGATTCAGTCATTGTCGTACGAAAGGCAGTATAGAATGTTGATAAGAAATCCTCCTTAGAAACATATGTAATGTGGAGTCGCATTAATTTCTCAAGTTCAGCACCGTACGACCTTTTTAACGCTCGAAAACATCCTACATCGAGTGGCTGGAGTCTATGAGAGGAATGAGCTGGCATGCAAAGAGTAATAATGTTATTACTCTTACAAAAAAGCTCAAAATCGACTGAGTGGTGGCTTTCATGGCCATCAAGCACAAGCAGCCGGTGAATGCCCTTCGTACGAAGCTTTGTATGCCGATCGAAATGAAAAATCCAATCTAGGGCTCGCTCATTTGTTGTCCAGCCATTTGTAGTTACAGCAATTACCCAGTCGCGTGGTAATTGGCTGTTTTCGTACCAGGAGGAGAGGTGGTTCTTCCCCGCCAAAATGATATATGGAGGCACTACAAAGCCGTACGACCCAACACCTTGAATTACTGTTGCCCATTCCCGGTTTCCTTGCTGTACTGTACGAGGCCGAGAAAGCCTTTCGGTACTTGTAACAACCATTTCTGATGTAATTTGGCCCATACAAAACCCAGTCTCGTCAAAGTTATAAATATCCTCCTCCTGAATCCCATATTTGTCAATTATATTTCGTACGAGGCGAAACCACGCGTTATACGCGTCTGAATTTTCGCATTGGACTCTTTGATAATCAATCCTTCGATTAAAACGCGTCTTAAGTTCAGGTTGTCGTCGTACGAAGTTCGAAGTCCAGTTCTTGCCAACGCGTCCTGCACCCCGCTCCGAGAGGATACGATTCGCCATATCTTCAACACAACGTACTCGTGGGGGAAATGATCGAGAATCTAGGTCGAGAATATGTCGTACGATAACTATTTCTTCAATCTCTGTAAGTTTTCGAGATTTAGCGATAGAATCTTGTCGTGATAATATTCCATGAGTTCGATTAAGCAATGTCGTATAAGGTACTTTATAGATCCGCGCAACCTTCTTAACTTTAAATGTGGGTTCGTACGAAGCGTATTTAACGCAAGAATCATATCAGACTCTGTCCAATGCTTAACCATTTTGTTTGTTAAGAAAAAACGCGCTCTGAATAAGGTTGTGGAGTGCCCAGAAAAAAAATCCATTTCGCTTGGGAATCCAACTCGCTTGTGGACTACGTTAATTAATTATTATACCTTTTTAGGCGGTTTACCCAGGTAAGCGGAAGCCTCGGACGCACAGGTACTCGTATGTGGGCCATGTTTTACTGTAAGACTTACTGTATATCCAAGAGTCCGTTCACGTATAGAGCCAAGTGCCTAGTACGGAGCGTCGGAGTAAACTCAAGTCCAAGAATATTGAGGCATAATAGTCAGTGCACCTTGGGAAAGCGCCGTAGGAAGGTAAAGAGGGCGGACACATCGGACAATCTACCCTAAATATAGAACTAATATAGGTAGAGTAAATACGCAGATACTATTACTTATTTTTACTAAGTTTAGGCAATTTTATACATACTTCGTAGAAATAAAACGCTAGAGACTACCTAGCGTTAGTACAAAGGTTATATAAATCTATTAAAACCTAGTAGATTATATCCACCTATATTCGTTCCGTATTTAGGGTGGATTATCAGGTGCGTCCGCCCTCTTTACTTCCTCAATCGTACTAAGGTTTCAGCATTGCCGAAATGCACGGTACAAAGGAGTCCAACATACTTGGTTCGTAGCTGAAGTGATGTTGTGCCACTTGACAATAGTTCTATATGTTTAGCACTTCCAAAAGCCGCTGCAAGCGATAGCGCAGATACTGTAAGAGAGGCGGGCATTACTCCGTACACCCTTAAGTTACAAAAATATTATCCTAAAGACCTCACACAACTAAATCAATTATACGAATAGTTTAGAACAATTGTTACTTTTCAATTCTGATTGTGCCAGGTGAATTAGGACAATTAAGTTACTTGTGCCAGACTTTTAGCATAATAACTTTTAATAGCTTGTACAGAGCGATGTCTAGATATCTTACAAAACGGACTGGCTATAAAATATTGTAGGTATTTCAAGTTACTCCTTCTAAGAGTCTGCGAATTCTTAACCCTCAAATAAGAAGTTACAATAGCCAGAGGAAAGCCTTCCTCTTCTTCTTCCGAGGAGGAACCCAAATTCTATGCCCGTCGGAGGCTGTGCAAGCGAGCCAACCTTTGAGAGCTTCATCCCACGGAGTGGCAGCTTCATGGCATGATGGTTATGGCAAAGAAGGCGGCAAGGTTTACGGCACTAATAAAATGGATGTGAACCCCTACAATAAATGCAGTTCTTAGCATCTAACAAGCGTACCCATCAACCTAAGGGTAGTCTATTCCATAGAAGCCCATCAAGTAACATCCCTTCCACACTCAAAACACCTTAATCCAATCCCCTCTCATCCCTCATCATACCTCTCCAACAACCCCACATTCCAAGTCTGAAATTTCCTAGCGCTGGGCGGCAACATCCTAGCACTCCCCATCAAACAATCCACAACTTCCCCTATGGCTTCAAGTGGCAGTGACAATTCCTCTGTATCCTCCCTTTCCTGGAGTTTGGCAGCTGCTTCTTCATCGACGGTATTCCAAAAGACTTTCATTGCAAGTTTTCCGGGTGAGAAGGGGTTCGATGAGATATCATGCGAGTGTTTCTCGTCTCCCAGGCAGTTCGATGCGGAATAGCGTAGGCCAGGGGTTAGGATCCATAGCGAGATGAATAATGGGGATGTAGATGGGGAAAGTGAGGAGGTGGTGATATTTTTGGGTCGAATTGCTAGACCAGCGGTAGGTTCAGTTGATGGAATAGGTGATTGGGATGGAGGTAGTGATTCGCTCATAGACGGAACAGCTTTCGAGGATATTATAGAGGGTTTCCAACCCATTGGATACAGTACAACGCGTGAGGTACATTGGGATTGCAAAAGATGCGTCAGCTGAGCAGCTACGAAGTAATACAAGGAGGGAGAGCTTGATTGTGGCGAAGGTGTTGAGCTTTTGGACTTCAGTCGCCATTTGTAAAGTCGAATTCCTTCGGCTTGATCATCGACTCTTCCGAGGTATTTTTGGCAGTTACCACAGTCAATAAATTGGTACGCAGAGTGGGTTTGAGATGGTTTAGTTGTCTAAGAATGCATTAGTTACTATTTAATTAACTATTCTATGGTACAACTTGAATGATCTCTCGCCGTTCATGCTTGAGAGAACCATGCTATTATGTTGCTTCGATAATAAATATGCCTCGTTCTTATCCCATGTTATCCTGCAATCTCTGGAAAACGTGGCGGGCAATGAACGAGTTTGGTGTCCTCGCTGTCAAAGAGGTAACCCATAATGCGAAGAAAAGGGTAGGTCTCAATGACTTGTCCGCTGAAACGTGCGGAACGGAGACCAAGTGATCAATTTTGGGTATTTGTATCGGTGATCAGACAACTGAAAAGCAAAGAGCTTGCATGGCCACCTTCTTGGTACCCGTGAAAGAAACAAAAACTCAGAAAGAAATACCAACAGAAAAGCAAGAGAATGAAACCTTACCTGCAAGCCAGAGCAATCGCTTTCAGATACCAGAAAGGTTGTTGAATCGATGAGAGCAGTACCAGAGCGGGCAACAAATTTCGTGTTAGCCCCGTAGCCTCGGTTGGCATTAGAATCGGCTAGACTTTGGCCACTTGCGCCATTAGTCTTTTCATGCTCTGGCACATCAGGCTTATGACAATGCCAGAACTCCATCATCTCTGCCCAATTATCACTGGGTAAGTCTTTCCACGTGTTTATGACACCTTCTTTCAATACTATTGTATTGCAATTCCTGCAAGCAAATTCAAGGTTGCTTCCTAGTTGCTTCGCGGACCAAGGTGCCTCGTTGTCTTGCAGTTGCTCCATGGTAGAGGAGGCTGGCGCTTCCGCCAAAGGCAACCTCCATGACAGTTCTTTGCTGCCCAAAGAAGGGATCTGAAGACGAGCATTGGTAGCTACCCGACCAGGGAGGCTCGGGGAAATCGTCTGTCCGGCATGAGTGAGAACGACGCGCTGACCCTGAGAAGCAAGCTCTGCTTTTGTCGTTGCGTCACATGGTGTATCCAAGGAAGCAAAGACCGAGATCTGACGGATATTTGAAAGAAGCTCGGCATATATTAGAGGACTTGTTCTTGTCATCTTGACGTTTGGTTGTGGTGTCGATGAAGCATGGGAGAGGAAAGAGCCGGCGGAAGACTCGATGAGTATTCTCGGCCATCCTGACTCCGATAACCGGCCCGAACTCACTCTTCGCCCGCTCGGCCCGGCAAGCCTTGGTATGAGCTCATCAAGGGGCTGCAGCTTTACCCCACACTTTGACAACCCCAACCATTCATTCAAAGGCTAAATATCAGGAGACTCCCAATACCTGGGCCTTGAGCAAAACAACTTCACGTTAGTCAAGATGTCTGCTCCTATGATTGCATGGGTGCCTCTGGTCAACCGAGTACACAAATATCTCACAGCCACTAGCGATTCTGGACGTTCAATTGACCTTGAGAAAGTCCCAATCCACGATGTAGAGACCGCGGCAGAAAAGAGACCTCGGACTCTGAAGCACTTAATAAAGGCAAATCACATCAACTACTCTATATTATACCACAATTTCCAATACCACAATCATCTCCCGCACCTCCTAGGATCCGCATACATACTAGGCGCAAATCACGATCAACTACAAAAGATTTACGATGAGGAATCGAAAGAGCTTGAGGAATGGAAAGACTCACCGACGGAAATCACAGAGCTTGATTGGCAGGACTATTTAGGCCAAAAGAACTACCAGAGAGCTTATGTGGATTTTTTTGAGGATGAATTGGCATTGAAACATGACTACGATTGGAAGAAGGTGGCGGAAGAGTACCTTTTTCAAGGAAAGACGCCCTTGATCAATGGACTTATTGCAGGACGTAAGTCACCATGAAGTTTCGGAAGCTGAATGCTAACAAAAACATAGTCGGACACCCACTAATACATCTCGGCTATGCATACGAACTCTCGAGTAAGGAATTGGGCATGGAAGCTCTTGCCATGTCATGCACAACCCATGACTACCTTCACAAATATCTCGATGATCCATCATATACAAAAGAATCGACCTACTACACCACTTCACCTCTCGAAATCCTACACAAGATTGCGGACGACAAGAGACTGGACGGAGTTTTCAAGGAAAAAAAGTACCATAATATATACGCTTTATTCCATGAGCAAGAATCTATCGTTATGGAGCACTGGAACGCTTGGAAGATCTCGGACCCCAAGAAGCAATTTCAAGAATCACAAGAAGCCGCAGTAGCTCTGTTGACAAGAACGGTAAAGCCGGGAACGCATGCTTATGATTTCTTTCTGGTACACACTCTCACCACCAGCCACGCTGTACGAATTCTCCTTCCAATGATACCAAAGCGATTCCACATTAGCCTTGTGAGACAATGGTGGTTGTTGACGATTGCCGTATATATCGCCCAACTGAGACCAGAGATCAATGACGATATTCAGCCTAAACCCGAGAAGCAATGGAACTACGTGGATCATATGGCATTAAATTCTCCATATGCTACAGATGCCCATTTTGTTAAAGGTATAATTCCAATGTCTATTTCCAGAAACTCGCAATACTGATTCGGATCCTAGCACTTCGCGCCATGAAAGAAGCAGCTTTCACTTGGGGCGATGTACACGAGAGATATCTTTCAGCAGCCGTTCATTTCGCAGATGGGTTTAAGGGCTGGACGGGATTCGGCTGGATGGAAGCTGAAGGAGAGGTCAATTAGGAAGCAGTATGCATATGAGGATATGAGGACATGAGATATGAAAATTGTAAAATTACATTTGGGACATTGTCTTTAACTTTGGCGTTTTCCTTTAGCAAGCGGGTCGCTTTCAATGGTAACTAATCACAAATAATCAATAGCTAGGTAGCTAAGAATTGCAAGATTTCTCCCCCATATACCTTCACGTCAACTGATCATGAACTCACAACACCCTCCTCACTCCCTCCACCAATCATCCTCAGCACAACTACCCCCCTTCCCATCTCTAAATTACAGAATAAGACCCCCAGCACTCAACCACAGTTAGCTCACAAACAAAGGATCAATTGGCCCGTGGGAAATGAGACGACGTGAGTGACATAACTGTTGGCCGCAAGAGACAACATTAGATAGTTTCTCGGTATCCTGCCAGCATTACTGGGTGATTCCAGGTGCGTGGGGTATTTCTTTTGTTGTTTTTGTGGTATTTTGGATCTTTTGGAGCTTTTGTTTTGGTGGGGTTGAGGAGGGGTTTGGGGGTTTTGGGGGGG